CTGATGGAAAGGGGAAAAGAAACAACTTTACAACTTTCAGCACCATAAAAACGACCAGGAAGCCTAAGAAAAATGCTCATACTCACCAGAAAGGAGGAAATGCACATTAAACCGTGGAAACCACTTCTCATTATCGCATTGAAAATAGTTTAAAAATGCTAACATCCAGTGTTATGGAAGGTGCAGGGAAATGGCATCTCTCTTTCACACTTAGCTGCTGGAGGGGTGGGTTAGTACAGACTCTAAGGAGAGAGAGAAATTAATATTATCAAAATCACTAACAGTGTTTATGATTCAGAAATACCACTGCTAGAAGTTGCCTTCAGAGAGCACAAATACGAAAAAGACACTGGATCAAGGCATGGGCTGCAGTGGTGCCTGTAGTTAGGAAAATTTGGAACCTTACAAGACAGTTAAACCAGCGGTGGTACATACGTTAGAAATCAGTGTTATTAAAAATAGCATGGGAAAATATTATATATTCCAGGAAAATGCTCACGGTATACAGAAAAAATTTAATCCTTCTCTAATCATACTTTATCACACTCAGTATATTATAATGGTGAATACATTTGTCCAAACTCATAGAATGTACAATACCAAGGGTGAACCCTAATGTAAACTGTGGACTCTGAGTGCCAATGATATGTCACCGTAGGTTCAGCTGTAACAAATGCACCACTCTGGTGGGAAGGCGATGCATGTGTGGGAGCAGGGGGTATGAGAATTATCCGTACCTTCCACTCCATCTTGCTGTGGAAACTAAGACTGCTCTAAAAAAAATTAAGTCTAGTCAAAAAAATTTTAAAAGCCGATTACAAAACAATATGTGGTGACCGATTTCTGGTGAAGGCGGGGGGAGTTCATTGTGATCTGCCCTGCCTGGGCTCCTCAGGAAAGGGCATGTGGGTGGGCGATTCCTACACATCCTACAGACCCAGCCTTCACAGGAGCCCTGCAGGGGGCTCCTGTGGGGTTGCAGAGAAGGAGCATATGAGCCTGGCGCTGCTACAGCCATCTTGTCACCAGGAGGAGTGCTTGTTGAGAGAGAAGGCTAAGCCGAGGAAAGAGAAATTTAGAGAGAAAGTGAAAGTGAGAAAGAAAGCAGATGTAGAGGTCATGGTTTGAGTTTTGGGCTCCAACTTGAAGCTAATCTATTCCTGGGCTTTTCAGAGAATAAATTTCTCTTTGTCCAATTACCCTGGCTTTCTGTCACTCGTAAACCCGAAGGATCCGAGTGCCCTAAACACGAGCTCCCAGCTCATTCACGTTGCAACGAGCCAGTTACTGGAGATGGGCCACGGCACAGATGGGCTTGCCAGGCGGCTTTCTGTCAGCACCTGGAACCCTTCCTCTCAGCAGGCACAGCCAGAGGAAGGGATGTCCAGGGCCTACCTGCCCCTTTCCTGGTCCCGGGCCTGGGCTGATGCTCCTTGGGGACAGAGGAGGTTCCTGCCTCAGAGCTGTGCTTCCACTTTCCCTTTGCTTAAAATTCTCCCCTCCCCACGCTGCGGTGGCTGCCTCAGCCTCCCCTATGGCTCCCTTAAACACCTCCTCCTCCGAGAAGCCCTCCCTGACCATCTGGCTGAGGGAGAGCATTCTGTCCCAGCTTCAGTTTCCTCTGCAAGTGTCTCCCTTCTGATGTTTCAGCTCCATGAGGACAGGGACCCAATCTGTCCTGTTCACCACTGCGTCCCCAGCTCTTCACAGGGTCTGGCATAGAGTAGGAGTCGTTGTTTACTGAGAGAGGAGAATGTACATGGCGTATGGTTAAGGCTGGTGAGGGGCTCTGTTCTGCTGACTGGGCTGGTGGGGCTTGTGCAGGGCCTCTTCCAGGGAGGGGCATTTTTTTGGCTTTTACCAGGGGACACAGCAACACCAAGTAGAGGACACACTGCAGGTTCTGGCTTTGACCGAACCAGAACTCTCCCTCCATTTGTGGGTCTTACCTTATGTCAGGGTGTGAAGCCCAGTGCTGGAGCCTGGGTGCCACCTCCCAGGTGGGGTGAGGAAAACCAAGGATGTCAGCCAAAGCCGAAACCAGGCCCACGACTGATCAAGCAGGGCTGATACAGGCATGGGATGGGGACCGGGGCCACGGGGCCCAGGAGAGGGAGCAAGGCCCCAACTAGTCTGAGACAACGCACAGAGAACATCGCATGATCCAGGCCGTGCGGTCAGAAGCTGATTTCCCTTTGCGGTATTTTCCATTCCTTCTGAGTAAATCAGAGAGCAGTCTCAACGTGGTGCTGACAGGTCTCTAAGGCTTGTGTCTGTCTCTTTTAACAGAGGACATCTGGCGGCCTCAGACTCAAGGCCTGGCTCAGCCAAAGGCCGCAGAGGTGTAATAACAGCGAGAGGTTTCATTGTGCTTATTTTTATAGCTACCTTCTCATTATAGCAGGTGAATCTGATTTTCCATGGAGGGTTGTAATAGGAAGTTTCTTTTTCAAATACATTTACATGCGTAAAAGGAGACTGCTAGAAGAAAGATGGCTAGTGGATGCTAGAACAGATGGCAGCACTGTTGGGCCCCCCAGGGAGGATTCTGGGAAGGCAGCTGCAGGAGGACAGGAAGCTCTGGAGGAGGCCAGGAGGGTCTGGCTGGGGACACGGTGGGAGCTTCCTGTCCCCAGCAAGTGGAACTGGAGCTGAATTTGCTGCTCCAAAGCAGAGTTACAGCTAGGAGACCATTGCTGAGCTAAGGGAATGTAGGCAATGGGGCTGGAGCCCACCCTGAACAGAGCCTCCGGGCTAACAGCCTAGCCGCCCTGGCTCAGGCCTCAATACTGATCCTGTGCCCCCCAGGTCCAGCTGGGTGACCACCCGTGGCCTCTTGGAATCCCAACCTGGGATTATTCTGTCTGCCCAGCTTGCCATACCATATCACTTTGATGTGGACACCCCAGTCCTGGAGCTGCCCCTGTCTCACCATGTGACCTGGAGAGACCCCCTTCTCCAGGTCTCAGTTTCCCCACCTGTAAGCAGAGAGGAGTGAAAGTCCCTTGAAGGGACATATCCCCAGGGACATGCAACCTTCTCCTCTCAGTCCTCCAATGTGGGGCTCAGGGAGGAGAGCACAGGCTGGCGGTGACACAGGCCTGCACTTAATTTCCTGCTTTACCTATTGTTGGCTGTGTGACCTCGGGTAAGTCACTTAACCTCTCAGGGTGTCTGTGTCCTTGTCTGTTAAGTGCGATAAGAATATCTCTTGGGCAGAGCTGGACCGCCAGTAATCAGAGAAGCCCTAGACACACAGTAGGGCTCCAAAAATGCTGGGGAGCCCCTGGTAGTAACCGTTTCCCCATCCTGGCTTGGGGGTAAGAGACCTGCCAGCATCCCAGGCATGGGGTCTCATAAGGATGACAAATCCCGTCCAAAGGGAGACCTTTGGCTCTGTGTCACATCCAGCAGGAGCCAGAGGCTGCTGGAGCAGACCTTCATGTGAACCGGCCCCCCTCAGGCTCCAGGGCCAAGTGCCCAGAGCAGGTTCCCGGGTGTGGATGTGGCTGGCATGGTGCTCCCACCAAGAGCTGCTCGGGCCCTGGGCTGGAGCATGTGTACCGGCGAGGGCCTGGGCTGGGAGGAGGTGGGGCAGGGAGGAACCCAGATGGCAGACTGCCCAGGCTCTGTGGATGGTTTTCCTCAAGGCCACCGTCAAGTCAATTCAACATGGGGCTTCTCAAATTTTAACCTGCGTACAGAGGAATCACCTTCGTGGGGCAGGAAGGAGAAGGTGGGTGAGGGAATCTTGTTAACATGCAGATTCTGGTTCAGAAGGTCTAGGGTGGAGCCTGAAATTCTGCCTGTCTTATAAGCTCCAGGTGACCCAGATGCTTCTGGTCCGGGGCTCCACCCTGAGCATTGAGGGCAAGTGCCCCTCACCTTTCCTGTGGGCTCAACTTTTGAGAAGTCAGGAGAAAAGGGTCTAATCCCGGCTACCACCACCCCAGAGTTCCCTGGAAAGAAAGACTTAGCAATACTGTCGGGTGGGAGAGGGTCCAGGCAAACAGGGAAGTGGGGTAACCTGGTGGGGTCACAGTGGGCCACAAGGAAAGCTTCCTGGAGGAGGGGGTTGAGGAATTCAAGGACTTGTTCCAGGAACCCAAGAAATGAGCCGGTCTCAGACTTCTGCGGCAAAGGGAGATGTCAGGAGGAGAGGCCGTCGGACACCCGGAGTGGATGAAGACACGCTGTGCATGGCCCGAAGAAACACCAGTGGACCCACAGGCCAAGGCCATCAAAAGGACTGGGAGGGCAGCATCTAGCATCACCAGGAGGAGACAACGTGGGAGGCCTGAAGCTGTGCTTTGTGGGTGGGCCCTTTTCAGAAGCCAGAGTAAGTCCTTTTCCTTACTCTGTGGTACCCAGCCCTTCTTTAAGGATACTGATGGGAAACTCCCCCATATGATTTCTTAGTTCCCTTTTACCTCGCGTAAGGTTTTTTCCTCTGTCTCGACACCACACACGTACACCACATATATGTGATTTTCAGATGCACAGTCACCCTCCAACCCCTACGCTTTAGCACCTCTGAAGTCAATGGCATCTTCCTCTCTATTGGCCTGGATCTATGTTCACTTCCTTCAGAATTTGCGTCTGTGGTGCAAGGTACCTGAAACACCTGCATCTGAAACCTCTTTACTATGACTTCTCAGCTTGAGGATTTGGGGCCACACTGTGTGTGTTTAGACCCCAAACCTGGGTGAGTACCAGTTTGCAGTTCCAATCCTAGAGTCCGCACTCTCCACTCAGTGTCAAATTTGATTCATGCCTTTCCTCACTGTCCCTTTCTACAAAGCAGGTCTATTCTACGTGGACCGTTACATTGGGAGCTAACTCTTTGCTCTCCCAGCTTTTTGCTGGAAACGCCTACTAAACTCCCCATGTTGGGCATTTTTTTTTCTTTCTTAGTGAATATTTGGTGCATCTAACAGTTGACAGCAGCATTTTATGTTTGATGAAAGGACTTGTAAAATCAATACTATCTTCTTTACTATTACAAAAGAATTGCAGCTCTTCTTATTTTTCCATTTAACACTTTAATTACCCACCTGCCCAGATTTCCAAGAAATCCAATCTCTCCCACTTAAAGTGTCCTTCTCCTGGAGTAAATTGAGATACTTGAAAACTTTCTTTTTCTGAAGGTGTCAGTCTGTGTCTAACCTTCAGGAAGGAGCCTGGTTGGGCCACTCCAGGTGTTGCCACATGGTGTTGCTGTTGAATACGTTCGGTGTAGTTCAGTGAATGCTTGCCCACTGCTCTTTGCTGAGCTAGATCTTGGTTCAGGCCAGTGTGGTGCCCCAGGTTAAGGTTCCCAAGTTACAGCCTCACCCTGATAATAACCTCAGCCACATGGTTTAGATCTTCAGGGACTGCTAGCCTGATAGGCATATGGGGTCCAAACCAGCCTGTACCATCAACTCCTGCCCTGTGCTGAACCCAGGTCACTGGTCCAGAATCCACTTCACTTGGGGGCCTGACAGCAGACTTTGGTTAAGGGCATCCCAATCCATTGTCCTTCAGATGGGGAGGTGTCGAGCGTTCAATCTCTTCTACCCAGAGGTCCCACCTCCTGTCAGGGCTATGTCTACGTAATCCAGAAAGGCCATTCAAGGGACAGTTGCCTTACAAATGAAAACCAACCCCAGGCAATGATAGCTGGTTCTAGCCCAGGATCCTCTCACCCTTCAAAGGATGAGGTATGGCTCATCCTGGGGACAAAGCTGGCTTTGAGGAGCAGTAGGTGACCTTTTGTCTTGCTGAGTTGGGCCTACCCCTAACAGGGAAGAGCTAGAATACTTAGGATAATAGGTGGGAATATTTGCCAGCAAGGTTGAGGGGGGAGGAACAAAGAGGAAAGCCTCAGGGCAGCTAAAGAGAGATGTCTCTGAGGAAATGAATCAAGCTTTGTCTGTGATGTGCACTTTAAACCTCTCCTCCAGCTACCTACAGAAACACCAGTAAGGTTGATATGACTCTCCAGTGTTTTGGCAGCTGGGTTTGTGGTTTTGCGACGAAGTGGGCCTGGCATCAAGGGGACACAGGACACAAGTAAAGGCTTCCAAGGATGCCCGGAAGCATCTCCGCTCAACATAGATGGGGAAACGGAGGACCAGAGGAGGGGCTTGTTCAAAGTCATCCCGCAAGCTAGAGCCCAAAGTGGCTCTTTCTGCTCAGAATCAACCCCCAAAGGCCCACGAGCCATGGTGATCCCCAATTCTCCAGCTTCCCCGGGGAGTGGCTCAGTACAGATACTCTTGGACGGTGAGTTCCTTCAGGGTGAAGCCCCGGGGGGCGGGCTTCCGGAGCTGGTTCTCCTCCAGTCTCTTCTGCAGGGACACAAAGTCCTTGCCCAGCTCGTAGGCCAGGCGGGCCATGGCGTCCAGCAGCGGGGCGTAGTAACGGTGGCCCTCCCGGGCCTGCAGGCACTGCAGAGCCCTCTCCCCGGCGGCGAAGGCCTCGGCGGGGCACTCCAGGTCGCGGTGGCACACCAGCATGGCGCACAGGGATGGCACCACCATCACGGGGCAGTGGGACGTCAGCTTCTCCTGTAGCGGCACCGTGCGCACCAGGATGTCTAGGGCCTTGGTGTACTGCCCCGCGCGCAGGCAGCCGAAGGCCTCCTTCAGCTCGGGCCGCGTGAGGAAGTCGATGAACTCGCGCGAGCGACGCACGCAGCGGATGGCGTAGAGCAGACCTAGGTACTCTTTGAGGGCCAGCTTGCGCTCGGAGATCATCTCCGGGGTGAAGTTCCCCATCAGGTGCTTTTTGGGGAAGACGACATCTTCGATCTCTTCCCGGAAGGTCTTTAGGAGTTTCTTCTGGAGCATCTCGAAGTCTGAATAACGCCGTTCCAGGATGGCTTTGTTGCTGTCAAAACTCCCCGTCTGGATGACGACGATTTGGTACATCTGCGGTGCAAAGAGAGGGGGCCTTTGACTACACTGTCACGGAGGGTTTGAACTGACAGAGAGAGCCCGGGAAATAAAATAATGATGACCTTAAAGCATACCCTGGAAATGGGGGATGGTTTTCTGCAATTCTGTTTTAAATTGCCATTAGCCTTGGCTGCGCTGTAACAGCGAATCGTGACAAGAGTCAACCGGAGAATAACAAACACAGGGACGTGGAGGCATCCTGGGGCAGAAAGGGCATACAGGAACCTGCCGTGCGGGGGACCTGGGGCGTTCTTGGTTTTAGTGGTCAAAACTGGGCCTCAGGTGCCTGAACTGGGAGGCTTGGATTAATAAGATCTGTGTTTTCCAGGTGTGGAACTCCTGGAAGATGGTTTTAGGTGATATACTGGCAGTGATGTTATAAGTAAGAAAACTATTCTCTTCTCTTCTCTTTCAAGAGAATGCTGATTAAGGGCGCAGACTGCCTGGGTTATAATTCCAGCCCACCACGGTCTAGCTGTGTGGTTTTAGGTAGGTACTTTAACGTCTCTGAGCCTCCGTTTTCTCATCCAGAGAATGAGGATAGTAGCCTGCCTCACTGGATGAGGATTAAATGAATTAATGCATTGAAACCATGACGTGCAGTCAGCAATCAGGGTCAGCTATTATTATTACTCCATTCCCATTTGGGGAATGGTGGGGGGCAAAGAAAGGCTGTGTGGCTCTTCCATAGTCATTAACCTCTCCCCCAACATAGGCTGAAATTCCATTCCAAGGAAAAACAGCCCCAAGCCCAGCTTTCCACCAGCCATGGTAACCAGCTAGAATTTAATAACAGCCCTGAGCTTTCCTTGTATTTACTTTTATAATGACCTTTTCTTATGCCGTGTGATACTGGTTTTCCATTTAAGGTACTTCCCTTTGAAATAAATCTATTCAGTGTTTTTAAAAAGTGATCCACTTTAAAGAAAAACTGAGGTACATAATAAAAATGATATGAGGATATCAAAAACAATGAAGAAGGGACACGGATGAAAATACTGGGTAACATGGGATTAAACTGGGCAGTTTGCTTCTTACGCTTAGGCACCTTGACTCTCCAATCCTCACGGTGCTGAGCGTGAAATCTCACTTTTGGACCATTTTTTGCCAGAAGACTTCTGTGAGTTAAAGTGTGTCAATCCATTTCCTGGTCAGGGAGACTGAGGTGCCACCAGCCTTGCCCAGGGCCGGGAAGGAGGCCGTGAAGGCGTGCCATCACTTTTTGGTCTCTGCTTACCACAAACTTGGAGACTCTCCCCTCCTCGATGCGGGCGGAAGCGATCTCGAAGAGCAGTTTGACGTGCTTCCAGCAGCGTTTCTGGGTCCGCCAGTACTCCTGCAGCTCCCGCGTGGTCATGCTGGAGTTGGAGCTTTGGCTGTCGTGGGCATCTGGAAGGACCACACTCTTAAGGACTAGCACAGGTCAGTGTGCTTTGGGGGCAAGGACTTGGGGAGATGGCTGGGTCTGTCTGGGATGAGCCGTGGGAATCTGGAAACGCTGTGAATATCCCTCTCCTCCATCCCACCTTGGATAGGCCCAGTCGGGCATCAGTCAGACGCCTACACCCAACCTGGCTGAATCCATCTCGCCATGGGCAACCTGGAAGAGCCCAGCGTCCCCAAGAGGCTTCTTGGTTGTGAAATGCAGTGTGTTTGTGGTACATCGTCCACTTCCGGCTGTCGTGAAACCCCATGCTCCGGAAGAGCAGGGATGCGGCTGGTGGGTTTGCACCCTCCCTACTGTCGGCTGAGCGCACACCAGTGGATGATGGGGGGAGCTCTGAGGATGCTGGGCTCCAGGTTCAGCTTGGCCGGCCCTTCCTCTCTCACCTCATTTCCCACACTCCCTGCTTTTTCTTGCACATGCCACTTCTTCTGTCTCAAATGCCATCCTCTTTCCCTGCCTCAAAAAGTAACAGTGTTTCTTAAACCTCACTTGAGCCCTAGGCCATTCTGAGAATCTTGGGAAAGCTTAGAATCCTTCCTCTCCCCCAATGCACAAACCACTGTACATTTGATTTCAAGGGACATGTGTCCCAGGAGCCCTTCTCCAATGTGTCCTTCAAGACCCAACCCATATATCATTTCAAATGCCCTTTGGTGTTAGAATAAGAGCCTCCCACCTTGTCCCTGTGCCTTTTCCATGGCATCTTACATTATTTTCTACAGATCCGTTTCCTTACTAAACTTGAAGGCCAGCACGGTGTTTGATTGTTCCTGCTTCCCCAGTGCCTGCATAGGGCCAGGAGCAGAGCAGGACATCTTGAAGGGTTGCATGCACATGGCAGACGTTTGCTCCAGGGGCTGGCGCTATAGCAGACACTGTCAGTGCCCGGCCATGCCGCCTCACTGGCATTGACTGTTTTGGAACAGCCCACTGGCTCCTATTGGAAGCACCTGGGACTCTCCCCGTGAGGGCTTTCTTGGGCCATTGCAGCACGTTCTGGAGCGTACCTCTGCCAATGGAGGATGGGACCAGGGGATAGCAGGCTGGCCTCCTCGCCGCTGGGATGGGACAGCTCTAAGGTGTGATCCATACGGTCTCCCAGACAACCCCCATTGGGACTGAGCCCGAGTTGCCCACAGTGGTAATCTTTTCATCGACATCCCGTACTGGTTTCCTGCCCTTCCTTTCCTCGGTTTCCCACTCCCCTGCCATACCTCCTGGCCTTGTCTCCTGGATAAACCACTTGCACCAAATCCCTGTCTCAGTGTCTACTTTGGGATAACACAAGTTAAGTGAGCTGCCCTGTTTCTCACGGCATCCACTGAAGTATGCACATTTGTATTTCAAATGTCTTCAAACCTCTATCCCCCCGACCAAGCCCCCAGTCTCAAGCCCACCTAAGTGCTCTTCAGGTCCTGGACGTGGGAGGTCTGGGCCAGGGGCTGATGCTTTCGGCTTGGTCCCTGCCATGCACTGGGCTATGGGTCTTGTCCAGCCAGGGCTCCTGGCGTTCCTGGGACTTGCCATGCTCCAAGGCTGCCAGGAAGACAAGAGAGAACAGTGAGTGCCCACTTGTGCTGGGGTTCCTGGTGGGTCCTGGTGGGTTCCATAGTCCCCACTGCTGAGCCCCCCACTGCCCACCTAGCCATCCGCCCAACTGCTAGATGTGAAACCTGGGCCTGGCCCTTTGCTGGACTGATCGCTCCCAGGCTGAGCACAACCTTCTCTTAGAGTTAGGATCCTTATGTTATCGAGTTGCTCTGAATTTTAAATGAGGTGACTTCAAGCAAAGGTAGTAGCTTAATGATTACTTGAGAGAGAGTTGCTGGCTTGTCCAGAAAAACCAATATTTCATTTCATATTACATGTGTAAATAAAATCTCAGCGTCCAAAACAAGGAGGCTGGTATGTATCCGTCCCTTTTCTCTCTCTTCATCTTTAAGCAAACATTTACTAACAACTTGTTATACCCACTTCATATACACACAGGCTCTTCACAGCCACTACCTGATTTGACACCCACGATAATCTATCGTGACTCCGATAACAGATAAGGCAACTGAGGTTTAGCCCGAGGTCACGTGGCTCCTGAGCGTGACCAGCCAGCCAAGCCAAATGCCTGTGGTGTGCGGGCTACACATCCTGCACTCAACACCCACCCCCTCACTTCATCTGAAGCTGTGCGTGGTAGGAGGTTTTTGTCTCCATTTTATGGTAAAAGAACTGAGACTTTGAGCTGCCCAGGATCGAGAGCTGGTAAATGGTGGGCAGGGCACCAACGCAGGCTGGTCTGACTTCAGAATCGTCTCCCTGGTACTCAGGGGAGGGTGGGCAGCGGGAGTCCTGGGGTTCATTTTATGCATAACTCTGTCTGTGACCCAGGTAAGTGAACAAGATGAGGCAGTGCCTGGAAGTTATTTAACTTCTCTGAGCCTCAGTTTCCTGCAAAAGGGGCACAATAACCTTCACGAAGCTGGTGTGAGTGTTAAGTCAGGCACCAGATCAGGGCTGCGCACACACCAGGTACCGTATTAGTCCCTTTTATTAGTACCTGACCCGTGATAGATGCTCTAGGAAATATTTGAGAAATAAATGGCTGAATGAAGATGTGAGTTGGAATATAAGTTAAAATGTCTGAGACAAATTAGGAAAAGGGCCAATTAAAACATCAGCTCAGGGCCTTCCCTGGTGGCGCAGTGGTTGGGAGTCTGCCTGCCAGTGTAGGGGACGCGGGTTCGTGCCCCGGTCCGGGAGGATCCCACATGCCGCGGAGCGGCTGCGCCCGTGAGCCATGGCCGCTGAGCCTGTGCGTCCGGAGCCTGTGCTCCGCAACGGGAGAGGCCACAGCAGTGAGAGGCCCGCGTACCGAAAAAAAAAAACCAAAACAAAACATCAGCTCAGATGGAGCGAGTAGCTGGGGCACCATTTAGGCACAGAAATTCAAAATAAGAAGGGTGCAAGTGACCTGACCTCCTTCTTAACGTGCTCTTGCTGTGTCAGGTGAAAGGAACCCTGGGGCATCCTCCAGGGGGCTCTGTGCTGGTGTCCAGTGGGGGGCTCTCAGGGACCCTCTGTCCAGCCTCATCCTATATAGATGGGAAACTGAGGCACAGAGCAGGGCATGGCTGGACCAGGGATGCACACGCTTGAGTACCCTATAGCTTTCTCCCCTTGAGGAGTCAGGTCTTCTGTCCTGACCAACTGTGGGTCCGTAGGCAAGTTATTTAATATCTCCAGTCCTCGGTTTCCCCACCTGAGAGGTGTGGCCACCAACCCTGTCCTAGATGATAGATGGCTAGGAACAGGTTCCCTATATTCTGGTAGGTGCCCAGGCAAGATAGCAAGTGGTCCACACACTCTTATCCAACGGACTTTGGGTAGCCAGGACTCTTGGGGGCTCAGTGATTCCCGTGGACACTCCTATGCACCTGCTTCAGTTAGCTCATCTGTAAAATGGGTGATGGCGAGTAGAATTGGCCTCAGTGGTCCCAGCCCTTCCAGCTCTGCTGTCTTGATCAGGCAGCTGGTGCCAGGTCAGAAGCAGGGCACTGTTTGCCCAGAGACCCCATGAGACCCCAGGAATGATGGCCTTGGCTGGGCATTCCAGGAAAGACCTGGCAAAGCTGAGCATGAACCCAGAGCTCAGAATAAATATGAAATTCAGCAGCCAAAGCCAGCTCCCTTAGGTTTTCTTTCATGGGATCGGCTGAAACTGGAAAGTGGCAGGGAGAAAGTTGTCACTGGTGCATCTATGGAGTCTCTAGTCCTCAGTTTCCCCATCTGTGAAATGGGGAAAGCAATCCTATGACTCCAAGAGCTCCTTGGGGACAGCTGTACATGGTGTTCTGTGGGCCCTTCCCTCCCATCTCTACACCCCACAGAGCAAAGATTTCTAGGCTTTACAACAAAATATGACAAGTGTTGGTACTCCTGGCTTGGGGGCCTGTCCTTGGCCCAGCGGACAGCAGCTGCCCAGCCCCTCCACCAACCAGCTCTGGGAGCAGTCACCCTTGCTCCTTCCTTCCCAGGTGCCCTGAGCATCACTTCTCCCTCTAAGGGATACCTGCCATGTCCAGGCTTCTTCTGATGGGCACACAGGGCCCCCTTCGGAGCCCATGCTACCTCTCTGAGGGGGCAGGAGGGGACATTCCATCAGGGGTGAAACTCCAGCAGAGTAAAGCACCCTGGTCCAACCTAGGAGACAGAAGATCCTAGACACTGGATGGACACACTGCCAAATGTAAGCATATATCAGAACCTCCTCAGGGGCGGGGGTGGAGGTGGAGGTGCCGAGGGGCAGACTTCCTGCTCCCAACATCAGAGAGTCCCATCTAGCAGGTCCTGCGGTGAGCCCTGGATTCTGCATTTCGCACCAGTCCCAAGGGCTGTGCTGATACAGGCTTTCCCTGGTACCACTTTTTGAGAAACACAGGTTTGGTAGATTATTCCCGAGGCTCAAGAGAGGTTGGAGAAGCATCTGGCACTTCAAAAGGCATTGATGAGATGGAGGGTCGAGGACCTGCTCCCTGCTCTGCCCCAATGCGCTGAAGGGAGTCCTGCGTATCTGTCAGCAACCCTTCTCCCTACCACCCTGCCCCCAAGAGGTACCAAGGGACGGTTACTGGAGGCGGGGGCTCAGGCCACAGGTGGGCAGAGGCCCACTGAGCTTGGGGTCAGACACTGACCTGAGGTCTCTGGTCCTGTGAGTGTCCAGGGGTCCAGGAGGGATGTCATATGGCCCCCTTCAGCTCTCTGTTCCAAGCTCTGGGCGAGCAGGCCAGTGGCTGCCACTTTGCTAAGTTCCCTGTATGAAAACAGGAAATAAGCTGTGTGACCCGCTCCTGGTTGCCCCAGCCCATTGGCTGATGAAAGATACCAGTGAACTCAACTAACAGACAGTCTGAGGCTGCCCTGCTGGGCAGGACCTAGCAGGGCAGGGCGGGCCTGGATCTCAGTTCCCACATCAGCCTGTCTGACCCTCAGGGTCCTTGACAATCTCTGGCATTTCGGGCCTTAGTTCCCAAAGCTCTTTAATGTGCATTATCCTACCCTACTGAGCTAGGCATGATGGGGGCCATCCTGCTCTAAGGACAGATGGGGAAACTGAGGCTTGGAGCAGAGAGCTGGTGGGATGCAGAGCCAGGGCCGGATTGGGGGCGGGTAGACTCAGAGTGCCTCTCTCTGGCGGAAGCTGCATCCCACATGCCAGACAGAAAGTACCAGGGAAGCCAAACCTCTGGGCAGTTGCATGATTTGTAGCCAACCGTATTGTGGCCTGGAGTGCAGGAGGCTGGAACAAGACAAAAAATAAAACCTCTCCAGCTCCCCCCACCCCCCCAAGAAGTCTACCATGTATCTCTCCCCAGCTATGATTCCTCCCCTCCCCAGTCCTGATTTTGATGGGGATTAATTCCTTGCTTTTCTTTCTTTCTTCTTTTTTTTTTTTGCGGTACGCGGGCCTCTCACTGTTGTGGCCTCTCCCGTTGCGGAGCACAGGCTCCGGACGCGCAGGCTCAGCGGCCATGGCTCACAGGCCCAGCCGCTCCGTGGCATGTGGGATCCTCCCATACCGGGGCACGAACCCGTGTCCCCTGCATCGGCAGGCAGACTCTCAACCACTGCGTCACCAGGGAAGACCCCTTGCTTTTCTTTGTAATTTATCACCTACTAACAGACCCCAAAACAATAGTTTCATTTTATTCATTTTTGAGTTTTATATTAATTGAGCCACACATACCGTTTGTATGCTTTGGTGCTTTGCTTCTTTCATTCCGCATTTATGTGAATAAGATTCGTCAGTTTTTGTGTGTGTAGCTAAAGCTTTTTCCTTTCTACTGCTGTATTGCTACATTACTTGAATATATCAGTACTTACCTTTTTTTTTGTCTATTGGTGCACCTTTGGGTTGTTGCTAGTTTGGGCCATCATGATCGGTGCTGCTGGGAATATTCTTACGCATTCATCCAATGCACATATTTATCTGAAGCGAAATTACTGGGTCTCAGAGTATGAATAGATTCAACTGTACTCAGTCATGCCAAACACTTTTCCTGAGTGGTTGTGTCATTTTGCAACCCCACCAGCAGTGTATGAAGGCTCTAGAACTTCTGCATCCTCACCTACACTTGATATGGTCAATGTTTTTTGTTTCAGCCATTCCAGTGGGTGTATAGTGCTATCTCGTCATGGTTTTTAGTTGCATTTCCCTAATGACTGGTGATGTTGAGCATCTTTTCGTGGGCTTATTTGCCATCCTTATATCCTTTTTGGTGAAGGATCTGTTCAAGCCCATTGCTCATTTGTTTGATTGGCTTATTTTCTTCATGGTTTGTAGGTGTTCTTTATGTATTCATGTGGGTATATGTGCTTCTCAATAATATCTTTCCCATCCTATGGTTTGCATACTCTATTATAATGGGGTCTTTTGATAAATAGAAGTTGCCAACTTTAAAGCATTCAACTGTATCAATCTTTTCTTTCATAGCTGGTGTCATACCGTAAGACCATGGACATTACTCCTTTATCGTTCTTTCTGCAGCGACTTCACAGGCCACTGTGAGGCTTAAGATGAGTTAAGATGCTCAAAGCACTTAGGACAATGCTGGTATCTCGTAAGCACTATACAAGGGCGGGCAATTCTTGTTTTTCTACAAACCTTTCTAGTTTGCCTTTCTTACTTGCGGCAGTATAATGCCCTTAGAGTAAGTAGATTTTTGTGTATGGTGTGAGGTAAGAGGTCCATGTTTTTTCCCCACATGTTCACCTACTGGCCTTATTTATTGAAATGGCCGTCCAATCCCACTGCTCTGCAGTGCCATCACTGTTATAAAAGAGTATCCACACGTCAGGGTCTGTTTAGCTCAGCAGAAGGGGCATCAGTAGTGTGCCTCTGGCCTGCTAGCTGGTGAGCCCCTGGGGTGCAGGGGCCGTATCTCATTCACCTCCACCTTGCACTACCCCATAGAACACCTGGTGTGGCGTGGAGATGCAGGCTCTGTATAGAGGGAGGCTGGAACTCCGTCTCTCCTCCTCTCTGAGTCCTTTCCTGGGCCTGGAACCTGCGAGATGCCAGTGTAGACTCTGAGCCCTTCTCTGCAGCCCTGCGTGCCTCTCATCCCCAGCCAGCAACCATGGGGAAGAGTGTGTAGAAGCCACTGCTTCCTCTTCTCAGGGTGGGAGATGCTTTTTGGAAACCCCCAGATGCGCAGGAGCATCTGGCCTGCATAGGAAGGACCTAGCTGGACCAGAGTAACCAGGAGAGGCCACACTTGGCCACCTGCCGGGTGTTGGCTTTTCTCTGCAGGACAGGGCTCGAGGCGGCAGAGGACCTCTATATGTCTACAAGGACAGGCAGGGCCCCGCTGTCATGGTGGGGGGGGAACAGGAATGGGCATCCCCCCACTGCACTACTGAAGCCAAAGGAGGCACCAAGGGGCCTTGGGAACTCAGGAAGGGAAGTGCTGGCATGTCAGAGTCTAGGTGTCTTCCCTAGAATTCACCCTGCTTGGACCCTTCATTGGCCTCACCCCGCATTCCGAGTAAACCCAGCCCCCCCCCACCCCGCCCATGCTGAGGCCTCTGTAATCTGCTGGTTGCTCCCTTCTTAACCTCATTCGCACCCCTCCCAGCATCACTTACCACACACCAGCCATTCGGACTACTTTCTGTTCCTCAAATGTGCTTCACAGCCTTTCCGCTTGCAATTCCTTCAGCCGTCAATGTCCTGCTCTCGGTTCCTTCCATGACAGCCTCTTTTCTCTCTCATCCTCAGGGCGCAGCTCGATTGTCTCTACTTTGTGCAGCCCTCCTTGACCCCCTGTCAAGAACTATCATTGTTTCGCTTATTTGTTTACTTGTTTAGTGCCCGTCTGGGATGCCTCGATCATGGGGACTTGGTCTGTGGCAGCGTTCTGTCCCCAGTACCCACCGCAGCGCCTGCCACCTAGTGGATGCTCGGTAATTGTGTGAATGAATGAATGAGTGGGCGAACGCAGAGAAGTGGAGATCGGGCTGTGACTCCAGATCAGCCCTGACTCACTGTGCGACCTGGGCAGGCCACTGCCCTCTCCGAATGTCAGTTTCCTTAATTGCGACATGAGATTAAGTTAAGCATCCTCCCGGCACCAAAGCATTCCCCATTGGGCAGATAACAATGTTGTAAACTACCACACACTGCTGCTCTGGGTGTCTGACAAGCTTGGGACTCCAACACCGAAACGCCACTTTTGAGAAATTCAGTAAGAATTGATGATCACAGGCGTGCCTCCACGTGTCTGGCAAAGAAAACCCAAACTGGTGAAGTGTTTGTTCGTAAGTAGGTGATGCAAAACCTGGTCGTGTCAATCTTGTTTTTCCATAGCTGGGTATACAAACATTAGCTTTTAACAACATCTCAAAAGTTCTTAATACTGCAGGGTTTTAAAATTAGGGCCACAGACAGAGTGCGCTGTGGGGCACCGATGTGGTTATACTGAGACATAGCAGAGCGACGGGTGGGCCGGGGGTGGGGTGGGACTGGGGTGTGGGTTTCTATTTCTATACTTCAGGCTGGGGAGACACCTCAGCCCTTCCTGGGCCTCACACAAGCTCTGTCAGTCCTTCTGATCTGTGTAAGAATTCATGGCTAAAATGTGGACAAAATCTAACTTTAATTATCAGCAGGACACAAACATCTTGTGTTCCTGGGAGATCTGTTTGCTTAGGTAAAAGGCTTTGGGCTTCCCTGGTGGCGCAGTGGTTGAGAGTCCGCCTGCCGATGCAGGGGACACGGGTTCGTGCCCCGGTCTGGGAGGATCCCACATGCCGCGGAGCGGCTGGGCCTGTGAGCCATGGCCGCTGAGCCTGCGCGTCCGGAGCCTGTGCTCCGCAACGGGAGAGGCCACAGCGGTGAGAGGCGCATGTACCGCAAAAAAAAAAAAAAAAAAGTCTTTGATGAGTTTGCCTGAGAGTTTAGGGCCATTGCACGTAGTTTGAAGGTTTGTGCCCTGCCCAGAGTGCCTCAAGAGGGCAGGAGTGGGGATGAAATCCAGCCCTCACTCTGCTTTTCCAAGCTGGCTCCTGTGTTCCCTCAGGTAAAGGGGTGGCCTTTTTCTAATCTGAAAAGAAGGGTGATGCGAGCTGGCTGTGAGTGAACTAATGACGGAGGATTGAGAAACTGTTTTTCAAAGACAGTAAGTTCAGCTGGTGGAATATTCTGTTTTGCTGAAGTGGAATTTGTAAGCTTGGGGCTAGAAGGGAAGGGTTTGAGAAACTGAAGGTGATTCTAGAAACCATATGGGGGAGGGGAAGAAGAGAGGAGACACAGTAAGGGGTCTGCAGAAGAGGAGGCCCACCCATCAGGGGAGCTGGATTTGTTGGGTGTCTGATCTGCAGCAGAACCCGCCTGATTCACTGGTGAGCTTGGAGTTGGTTAGGGCTGGAGGTGGGGGGAGGGGACAAAATGTGGGTCTGGTCTTGAGATGGGGATGGGTAAGACCAGAGGCCGTCCAAAGGCCCCAGGTGCATTGGGTTCCCCAGGTTTGAGGCAGCTCAGTAAAAAGATGCCTTCTCTGCTGTGCTTTTCCCTCATGCATTGTCTCTCTTTTAATAAGTCACTCAACAAACTTGGGCCAGGCACTGGGCCAGAGGTGGAGGTCCGGCAATGGCGAAGGGATGTCTCAAGCCCTCAAGGACTCACAGTCTGGTGAGGAAACAGGATGGATGCATGAGCTGAAACAGAACACCATTTAGGCTGAGAGAAAGCAAGAGCACAGGGAGACTGCTCCTTGGTAGCTCAGAGGACTGGAGAGTTCCGTGGGGACAGTGGAAAGCTACCTGGAGGGAGGTGGGCATTGAAGGATAGGTAAGTCCCAACAAAAGGAGTGAAAGAAAGATGTGGGCTTGATTAACAGCTCCACCATCCTGTAGCTGAGTCATCTTAGGAAAATTATTTACCTCTTGGAACCTGTCTCTTCATCTCAAAGGAGTGGGGACAAAGAATAGTACCTATTCCATAAAGAGGATCATGTGATGGATGAGAGTACAGTGCCTGGCATATAGTAAGTGCTCAATAAATAACATTCATATTATACAGAGTTTAGGGCCTACTCTGTGCCAAGCTCTATGTTTGTACTCCTCACGACAAGATCTAAGTGAATTGTCAGCACCACTTAGCTGTTAGGGAAACTGAGGCCAAGGTTAAATAACTGGCCCAAAGGTATAGAGATCTGGGATTCAAATCCAAGTTCGTTGGAGTCCAAAGTCTATGCTATTCAACCTGTTGCCTCCCACTGAGGCCCAGAGTGAGCAAAGCACAGAGGTGGGGGGACCAAGAGCTATAAGGACACTGGTGCATCATTTGGGCCTGGTTGTAGAAGGGTTTGGACACTGGTGGGTGGGTGGGCTGCTTGGAGCAGGGGACCAGCATGGAGGCTGCTACGCAGTGTGAGGTTGAAGAGAGACTAGTTAGAACCATGGGGAATGGCTGGGTGCTCTTGCCAGATGAGAGATGACAGTGAATTGGACCCAAGTAGTAATAGTGGCTATGGTAAGAAGTGGCTGATTCTGAATATGTTTTGAAGCTCAGGTTGACAAATTTGCTTCCAGGTTGAGTGTGGAGTATAAGAGAAGATGAATCGGGTAAGTTTTCCAGGTTCAGTTGCTCTGTTACTTTTCTTAAGTAATCTGCTATTACTGGGCATTCAGAAGGCTTCCAGCTTTTTGCTGTTATAGATAAGATGGTGGTGAACATCCTTGCAGATGGATCTGTACACCATCTGGAATGATTTTCCTGGGGTTAGATTCAGTGCTTCTAACACAGCATTTCCCAGCCTCAACCAAATGTGCACCAGCAGTGCAGGTATTTACCTGGAGGCAGTGTGGGGTAGTGGTTTTGAGCATGAACTTTGATGTCGGACATCTGGGGGGCAAATCTCGGCTCTGCTGTCATGACTTGGATAAAGTAATTAACTCTTCTGTGCCTCAGTTTCTTCCTCTACAAATTAGGGTAAAGATAGTCAATATCCTGTAGGTAGGATTAAATGAGTTAGTATCTGTAAAGCACTACATCAATGTCAGTTTTTTTCCTTGAAATTGACTTCACATTTAAAATTTTCCAAGTACAAATGTTTTTTTTTTTTAATTTATTTTTATTTTATTTATTTATTTTTGGGTGTGTTGGGTCTTCGCTGCTGCATGCAGGCTTTCTCTAGTTGTGGCAAGCGGGGGCTACTCTTCGTTGCGGTATGCGGGCTTATCATTGCGGTGGCTTCTCTTGTTGCGGATCATGGGCTCTAGGCACATGGGCTTTGGTAGTTGCAGCACGCAGGCTCAGTAGTTGTGGCGCATGGGCTTAGTTGCTCTGCGGCATGTGGGATCTTTCCGGACCAGGGCTCGAACCCGTGTCCCCTGCATTGGCAGGTGGATTCTTAACCACTGTGCCACCAGGGAAGCCTCCAATTACAAGTGTTTTAAAAGGAATGTTTATATTAATACCTTCAATGAAAAGCTAGCAATCACTTGCCAGGAATAAGAAATCATAAAATAAAATAAATCTAATGTAAACAAAACAGTGCTGGTGAATTCTAGTTAGATAATGTCACAGAGTCAATTAGACTAGGCAGCGTTAGAGAGGAGTTCAAGCCCTATTAGTACTAAACTGAGATGGCTTGCCTCAACTTAGAAGAATGGAAAGAAAAATGTAGAAAAAGGAAGTTTAAATGCCCTGTCCACTGTTACCTAACACGGAACCATCACACTCCAGAGAACTCCGTCCTGGGACTTCACAAGAGTAAGGCTTTAGATGACTATGAACTTCCTGACCCACAAAGGGTGCGTTGGGTAATACTGACCCCAACAGCTTTCCTAGCTTTTCAGTTCACAGGATACCTCCGTGTGTGTGTGTGTGTGTGTGTGTGTGTGTGTGTGTGTGTGTGTGTGTGTGTTGGATGGGGGAGGAAGGATGACATACTTGGCCTGGGTCACGCGGCACAGGCCGTGTAGCCTGCCTCTGCCCTGCGTGCTCCGCCGCCCACGGTCCGGCTGGCTCTCTCGGGAGGGGCGGGGCTGCCAGGCAGAGGGTGGGCAGTGGGGGCGGGGCACGTCGGGGGCGGGGCCGGGGCCTAGGGCCCGCGCAGCCCAGGCTGGAGCTGAGCCGGGGAGTCAAGACTCGAGCTGCGGGGAGGAATCGGGGGGCCGGGGGTGAGTGGTCCTGAACCCTGCGCCGGGGCGGCAGGTGCCGAGGGTCCCGCTCCCGGGATTGGGACACCTGACTTCCGAGCGGTCCAGGCCGCCAGCCTTAGGATGGGGCTGCCTCGGTTTCCCCTTCGGGAGTCCCAGGGTCTGGAAGGAAAGAGGGGTGTTTCGAGGTTGGGGAGCCTCCTGGTGGGCTGTGACTACAAACGATGAGGGGGTTTGGGAGAGTGGGCAGAACTTCTGCCCCAGGAGCCTCTGAGGTCTGGAGAGAGACCGTGATTTGGGGATCGAGGGGTTTGTGGGGGCAGAACAGGCAGGATGAAGTTTCGAGGCACCGGGCCGGCCTGGGAATGAGGAAGCCAGTCTTCAGGTCTGAGCGGGAGCTACTCTCTGTTCAGTCCCTTCCTCTCTCCCTCAGTTTCCCCATTTTCACCTTGCTTGTGGATGGGTGGGTATAAATGAGAGCACCTGGATGATCTCTAACCCTGCCTGTGGCCTTGTAACTCTCATGGGGGTCTCCTACCTCCTCCTCCTCCCCTGTGGTGGGTGTGGAGACCCCTGACCATTCTGCATCCCATCCCTGCTGAGACCCCCACACCAGGGCCTGCCGGCATCACATCCTTTGTGCTGTTCATCCTCTCCTCTCCTAATGTTGAGGAACAGCCATCCGGTCCTACTTGCTCTGCAGCAAACTCAAAAGCCTCCCTCCATCCCCTCCAGGGAGGCCTCCCACAGCTGGACCCTTGGTCCTGAGTTTGCTCTTGCTTCTCTGTCTCTTTTGGAGCTCTTAGTCTCCTCCCTTTGGTGGGCTCAATCTCCCCATGGGCTGTTCCCTGGCCACAGGGTCCTTGTTCCATAGAGGGGAGAAGCCTGCCATGTCACCCGTCTCCTGACCCCTTGGTGAAGACCCGAGTGACATTCCTGTTGCTTCTGCTCTCCTGTCCCAATCGCTCTCCCCCTAAGTTGCTTGGTTACTCAGGTCCCCTTAGCCATTTGGCACTCTGAGATCTGAGGCAGGAAGGGACCCCATCTAGCCTACTGACCTCCCACCCAGTGCAGGATCCCTCTGTTGCATACGCTCAGTGATGGGAAGCTCATTCCTTATGAAGCGCTGTTCAGTGTCCTGCAGCTCTGGCTTCATTTAGTCAAAATCTGTGGCTTGCAGATTCCACCCCTTGGCTCCACTTCTGCCTCCTGGAACCATGCAGAGTAAATTCATTCTTTTATTCATTCACACAGTCTTGATCAGTGCCCTGCATGAGACACTGGGGATATAGCAATGAAAAAAGCAGACAACATCCCCTGCCCTCATGGGGTTAGTTTTCTAGAAAGGAGTTGGACAGCAGTCCAATAAGTAAATACAAGGTATGTCAGGTGGTAAGGAGTGCTATGGAGACTAATAAAGCAGGCAAAGGGGATGAGGTATTGGTCTGGGGGTATTGTGGTTTTATATAGCTTAGTCAGGGAGGGCCTCTCTGAGATGGTGACCACCGAGCAAAGCCTTGAAGGAGGCGAGGGGGGAGCTATGTGAATAACTGGGGGAAAGGACAGTGCACCCACAGAGGGAAGAGCATGTGCAAATGTCCTCGGGCAGAAGCATGACAGGTGGGAGCAGGTCTGGCTTGTTCTAGGAACAAGCGTGGCTGGAGCAGCGTAGGTGAGGAGCCAGTGACGGATTAGTAGGAAATGAGTGCAGAGACATAAGGGGTGGGGAGGTGGGGATCCATTGCATGGGGTCTCGATGGCCACTGCAAAGGCTTTGGTTTTCACTCTAAGCGCACTGAGAGCCACTGGAGGTCTTTGAGAAGAGGCGTCACCTGCTCTTACCTAGGGGTTAGCAGGTTCATCTGGCTGTGAACGGGAGAGAGAATGCAGGGAGGTGAGGGCAGAAGGGTGGGGGGACCAGTGAGGGGACCACTGCTGTCATTCTGGGTAGAGACCGTGGAGGCTTGTTACCCATGGCATAGAGGTGATGAAAAAATATCAGATTTTCAGATTTGGGATATATTTTGAAGGTAGGCGGTGATAGAATTTGGGATGTGAGAGAAGGGTGGAGTCAAAGGTGACTCGGAGGTTTTGGGGCTGAGCATCTTGAAGTTTAGAGCTGCCATCGGCTGAGATGGGACCTGTTTAGGGGGAAGATCTGGAGTTTGGCTTTGTGCTTGTGAAGTTTGCGATGCCTATTGGGCATCCACATGAAGATGTCCATTAGGCAGTTGCAAAAGTTTAGTGGGGGGCTTCCCTGGTGGCGCAGTGGTTGAGAGTCCGCCTGCCGATGCAGGGGACGCGGGTTCGTGCCCCGGTCTGGGAAGATCCCACGTGCCGCGGAGCGGCTGGGCCCGTGAGCCATGGCCGCTGAGCCTGCGCGTCCAGAGCCTGTGCTCCGCAACGGGAGAGGCCACAGCAGTGAGAGGCCCGCGTACCGCAAAAAAAAAAAAAAAAGTTTAGTGGGGAGGTTGGAGCTGGAAATAAAATTTGGGGCTTCATCACCATATAGCTGGTATTTAAAGCCATAACAGCAGGTAAGCTCACTTAGGGAGAGAGTAATACAGAGAAAAGAGGTCCCACCAGAGAGTTCTGGGGCTCCCAGCATTAGGAACTAGCCAAGGAGACAGAAAGAGTGGCCAGTGAGATGGGAGGAAAAAGCAGAGAGTTGGGGTGTTCTGGACAGCAATGAGGAAGGTGCTTCAAGGAGGAAAGAGGGAGTGATTATGACAGATGCCTTTGGCAGAACCAGCGAGGTGAGGGCTGAGAATCCAGCAACCTGGAAGTCACTGGTGACCATGACAGAAGTAGCTGGGGGCCAAAGGGGACACGATCGGAGGGGATAGGAGGGGAGAACTTCAGGACAGCGGTATAGACAACAGCTAAGGAGTCCTGCTGTGAAGGGGGCAGAGAAATGGGGTCAGATGGAGAAATTATAGTATGTGTATGTGCTGGTGAGAACTGCTCTCCCAGAGAGAAGCCCGGTGAAGGGGGCAAGAATGGAGGATGCCGCAGGAAGTGAGAGGGATGGGTCCACTGCCCCAGCAGGGGCGTGGCCCCAGCTGAGAGCAGGACAGTTCGGTTGAGCTTCCAGGGCCTCCCTCTCTTCTGTCTGCAGTGGCCTAGCAGGCTGAGATTTCAGCACTTAAGGAAATCAACTGGCTCAGGGCTCCAGAGAAACCAGACTGGCTGTGTCTCAGGAGGGAGGTAGATGTCAGGGCTTGGCCTGGGCTTGGGGATAAGGGGGTGCCCACGTGGGTTACCCCTTCCACTTGACCCTCTGCTTCAGCAAAGAAGTGCCCTTTTCTTTGCACAGACCTCACCTTCCTCGAGAAAAGACTACAATGACTCCAAAGTTGCAGTAATTGAAGCAGAGAAGAAAAGGCAACGGAGAGAGGCTGATTTAGTCTGAAGAGGGGAAGTCTGAGCAGGGAGTAAAGGGGCAAGAGGTAGGATTTTAGGGACAGTTTTTATGAGATAGGTGATGAATGGACATCTGTTTTCTCCCATTCCCAATTTAAACTGAAGCAGGAAAAACTTTGGTTCAACATAATGAGGAACTTCCTGTGCTGGTTAGTGAGGACAGCAACAGGCCAGGTCCTCTGCCCTGGATGTTTAAGATGGGAAAGAACAATGCCTTCTTAGAGACAGGGTGCTGGCCGGATTGGCCCTTGGGGATTCTCCCACCTCTGAGGTTTCCGGAAGAAGGCCAGGACAGAGTTGGGACTTCCCAGCTACTGGTGGGGAGATAGAGCAGCAAACCTTCTGGCTTGGGCCTGCCTCCTTCTCCAGGTGCCCTGACATCACGAGTTGGATATGTGTGGCTCAAGCATCCATCGGCTGACCCAGACTCGGAGTGTTTGGAAGGGCCCCTGCTTACCTGTAGCTTGTCCACTTGTGGCCTAGCACGTCTGCGGGTGTGTCAGAGATCACTGGGCTTGGTGGGGTCTCCCAGTGCAGCTAATGGTGGAGGGTGAAGGCTCTGTGCCAGAACTGCTGAGAACCGTGTAGCTCTTCACAGCAGGTTGGCCACCTCTGGCTTCTGCCCATCGTTTCGGGGCTTTCCCCGGGAGAGACGTGGGATCTGTGGGCAAATCTAGCCCTGCCAATCCTGTGCCACTCAGCCTTGCCTTCCTGCTCAAGGCCTGCCTGCAGATGACTTGGCCATGCCTAATCTAAGCCTAATGATCTTTGACTGGGGGGGTGGTGCGGGGGGTGTAGGGTGGTCCAGGCTCTCCTGATGCTGAGGAGACAGCAGCTGTCCGTCCTTAGGCATCCTCTGAGTAAAAGGGGCAGGGAATGTCCTATCTCATCTTAACTCTTCAACTTCTTTAATTTCTGGCTGCACACATGCCCTCCAGGCATTGGGTCAGAAGGAGAGTGCTGACCACATTTCTGGGCTGTTTCCGGAGGGGTGGGTGGTAGTTCTTTTCCCCAGGACCTGGGCAGGGGTGGTGATGGGGCTGAGAACCACTTCAGGGTCAAGCCCAGAGCTCTTCCTACCCCGTCCTGTTCTCTCCTCTCCCCTCTCCCCACCTCTACCCTCTTGACTCCTCTGCTTGGCAGTGGGCGCAAGAAGGAGGCCTGCTTGGCCAGAGAGAACTATTTTCCTTTCTGGTTTACGGTGGCCTCTGCACTGAGGATGCCCTCCCTCCCAAGCTGCCAGACACATGGGTAAGCTCGCTGCCTCAGTTTCCTCATCTGGCCAGCGCAAGGCGTCCAGCCTAAGTGTTGGCAGCATTCCGAGCTGGTGATTTCTCCTTTCCCTTACTTTGGATGGCATATGAGGACAGGCGCAGGAAGTTCCAGCCCCACCCCTTCCCTCAGTGGGTTTTTGATTCATGAACATTCCCACTGTACTTCCCCTTGGCCCAGCCCCATGCCAAGCTTAGTGATGCCAGGATGAGTAAAACCCAGGCTTCCACTTGGGCCAAGAAGGGAGTTAGACGCATAAACAACCAATAGGAAATACACAGACTTTCCAAGCCCCTTGGCGTCTGCTCCTTTGAGTATCCTGGAATGTCCCGTTTTTGTAGAAAGAAGCTGGCGTTCCTCTTCTTTTTCCATGCCTACCTCCTTTCACTTTCATTTTCTGCGGGCACTGCCCCAGCTCACAGCCCTAGATTCTGTGACTGTCGCAGAAGGGACCCTGCTGAGAGATTTTCTCTGCCGCGTGGGGACACTCCCAGGGCCTGAAGCTCCGTGAGATCGCTTCCCCACAGATTCCCAGGACCCAGAGTCTGAAGGCTGATCCCAGAGCAAGCCATCGACAGAGGTGACGGCACATAGCGTGTGGTGGAAGGGAGTGGGGAGGTGGTAAGGGCCTGGGCATTTGGGGAGGGGGCAGTGGACTGGGGTCAGTACACCCATAAGCTTTGAAACGTCTTAGTTTGTACCATGAGTTTCGCTTCACCTGGGTTGGCATCTTTATAGCAATGTTCTGGGTCTGTCCTTGGCGGTAGCAGTGGGTTACCTACACAGGCCTGGGCTTGGGCCCCTGTGGGGAACCCAAATATAAGGGGATTAAACACACGTCTTCTGGAGTTGCACTGCTTGGGTTCAAATCCTAGCTCTACCTCGTCTACCTTGTACCCTTGTACAAGCCTCAGTTGTACTCAGGCCTCTCTGTGCCTCAGTTTCTTCACCTGTATAATGGGGCTGATCCTAGTACCCACTTCAGAGTGGTTGGGAGGGTTAATGAAAGCACTTAGAATAGTGCTTGGCACATTGTATGTGGTTAATAAATGTTAGCCATTGTTGAAAAGAGAGCTGCGGTAGCCTGAGTCCAACCAGCATGTAAGGGCCCTCTCATATGGCTTCAAAGAGAATTGATTCCCTGATCCCTTGGGAGACATTGTTCCTAGTATTAACTCAAGCCTTTTAAAACTTCGTAAAGCAGGGATGAAGCATGGATGTGGGAGCCAGGGACCTTGATTTAACTCCTGGCTGCTTCAAACCCTCTGTGGGATCTCGAGCCAGTTTCTTGCCTTCTCTGGGCCTCAGTTTGTACATCCATACAATGGGGAGCTTGCATTGGTAATGTCTGAGGGTAGAACTGTGGCTGTCTTGGTCTCAGGGTGGGGCTGACTTGCCCTCTCCACTGCCGCCTGCCTGCTTCCTGAGAAGTCCTGCACTGGACCTCATTCTCCTCCACAGATTGTGAAATGTACGCGCAGGACGCTTTCCAGGCACAGAGGAGCCAGCTGGTGGAGCTGCTGGTCTCGGGGTCCCTGGAGGGCTTTGAGAGCGTTCTGGACTGGCTGCTTTCCTGGGAAGTCCTCTCCTGGGAGGACTACGAGGGACTCAACCTCTTGGGCCAGCCTGTCTCCCACTTGGCCAGGCGCCTCCTGGACACTGTCTGGAATAAGGGTGCTTGGGGCTGTGAACTACTGACTGCGGCTGTGCAGGAGACCCAGGCTGACAGACAGCCCCCCGAGCTTCCCGGCTGCTGGGAGCCCCACTCACCCCACCCAGCCCGTGACCTGCAGAGTCACCGGCCAGCCATCGTCAGGAGACTCTACGGCCACGTGGAGGGCGTGCTGGACCTGACACAGGCGCGGGGTTTCATCAACCAGTACGAATGTGATGAAATCAGGCGGCCCATCTTCACGTCATCCCAGCGGGTAAGGCTCTTCCCTCTTTGCTCATCAGAATTCAAAGGAAAAGCATGCTTAGTTACCGAGACTGGTTTGTGAAGTCAGCCCTGTGGGGAGACATGGGTCGTGGCGCTTCCCCTTTAAGGGTAACCAAGCAGGTAACAGTTGCTCTGGAGTTTTGGTACCATGCCGCTTCTGACGAGAGGCAGCGTTATATGGTGGCGAGCATCTTGGTTTCTGGAGTCAGGACGATGCAGGCTCAAGGCCTGTGACTTTAGGCTTCTCTATGGAAACTCACCATCCTTCATCTCTCCTGTCTCGGATTCCTCATCTGTGAAACACAGATGGGAGCATTCAATGAGGTGAGCTATGTGACCCTTAGCACGGTGTCTAGCACGTAGTAAGCACTCCTTAACATTACCGTTGGCTACTATCAATTCTGTTATCAGTGATATTCTGTACTTGTACGCTTTTAGTGCTGTCTGCTTTAAATTAATAGCCCAACAGATGATAAAAACTCATTAAATTAAACCTGTGTTTAATAATGAATATAGCATACTATGTACTAATATAGTTTAAATGCCCACATAGGGTTTCTAATAGGAGATTGCATTAGATCATAGACGTTTGGAGTTGGGATAACTGCCTCTGAATGTGACATTCCACAAGAACCGAAGAGTGTCTTTTGGGTATTTTTGAAACTCTTTGTTTTATTTCCCCCCAAATAGTGAACCTCAGGCCTCCCATGATGCAGATGGAACAGTCATTAACACCTCACTTTATGGATTGGGAAATTTGAGTCCCAGAAAAGTGGTTTGAAAAAGCACACAGTTGGGGCTTCCCTGGTGGCACAGTGGTTTAGAGTCCGCCTGCCGATGCAGGGGACGCGGGTTCGTGCCCCGGTCCGGGAAGACCCCACATGCTGCAGAGCGGCTGGGCCCGTGAGCCATGGCTGCTGAGCCTGTGCGTCCGGAGCCTGTGCTCTGCAACGGGAGAGGCCACAACAGTGAGAGGCCCGCGTACCGCTAAAAAAAAAAAATAAATAAAACTCACAGTAGTTCATGAGAGGGCCAGTGCTGGCCACAGTGCTTTGAGTAATTCATTCACCATTAATTTATTCATCCAGAATCTATTTTGATGCCTACTACGTGCCAGGCTCTGTCTTAAAGCTTATTGTGTTGAGAGCCTTGTACATGGTAGGCACTCAAGAAATACTTGTTGAAGAAATAATGAATTATTGAATGAATGAATTGGAATTACATTGCAGTGTTAGGATGGGCTGGGTTGGGGGACTTTCTAGTTACCGTTTTTGTCTATTTTTTAAAATATGTATTTGGTGTCCACGTGAGTTTAGGTAAGCCCGGTTGAGACTGATGGAATAAGTCTGTTCAAGGCTGGTTTAAAGTATTTGTAGTATTTATGTTCAGGTATTTATAGAGCAGACATGTTCTGGTCCTCTCTCACTAGTGCACCTGAAACCTACAATTGTACCCTGAGCACCAGCTCCTTGAGGCTGGCCCTGGAGGGATTATAGAGACTCAATGAAATCACCTCTCATCCAAGTGATTTACATCTTCCAGAATTGTTTTTCCTATCCTTTATAGGGTTATGGCTCTTTTTTTCCCCCTATTTTCGGTTATTCACTCTTTCAGTGGGTCCTGAGCGGGAACCAGATTGGATGTGTCTATTCAACTGTTCATTTCACTACCCGATACTGTATTGGCTTCTTTAAACGCATCTTGTTTAGGGATGTCTTTCTGGCCTTTTATTGTGGTGGGAGAGAGATGCCCATGGTATTGTCGTAATCAGTAGAAACCTTCCCCCACTTCTCCATCCGCCTTTCTGGAGAAATAATGACTTTTGCTTTCCCCACAGGCAAGAAGGCTCCTTGATCTTGCCGCAGTGAAGGCGAATGGGTTGGCGGCCTTCCTTCTACAATGTGTTCAGGAATTACCTGTCCCGTTGGCCCTGCCTTTTGAAGGTATATATGTGTTCTCAGTTCATCAGAAAGGGAAAGAAAGACTTTCAGATTCGTGCTTAAGAGCAAAAACTCCAGCATGAGACTTGTCAGAATCCCACTTACTGGCTGTGCAAACCCCCCTAAGAGAGTTTCCTCATTTTAAGGGCAGCATCACCACTGGCTCACTGGGCTGTTGGGAGGATTAACTGGATTAATGTGTGTAGTATTAGGGCTTGCTTTTATTTCTTCCTGCGCTGCGGAGTGATCACTGGAGGTACCTTGTCCTGTGAGCTAATACAGCTGTTCCTTACTAGCCATACTCTTTTATTGGAAAGATGTGGGTACACTTTTTAATGGCTGGTATCTCTTGATCTCTGCAGTTTAGCTACTCATTATCAGAAACTCAGGAGCCAAATGGATTTAGATAATGTGATATCTCTCATTTCACATGGTCACCGACCCAGTTCAGGAATGGGAGAGGCTTGGATGGCCCAGCTCGAACATCCTAGGCATCCTGCCAGGTGCTTAATTTACGATGTCTGTCCTTGGCAACAAACTTGAGAAGTAGGTATTGTTTTTTCCACTTTACAGATGTGGAAACGGGGACAGGGAGATTGAGTGACAAGGTAGGGGAGGATGGATCTGGTTTTAGGCCGTCTGCACCTACACTTCCTCTTTTCCTGGGAGAAGAGCTTGTCGGTTGTAAAGAGAGGATGCAAGCCTGGTGTGTCTGCCGTCAGGAAACCTCAGCAGCACCCAGGGTCCCTGAACTGTGCCTGGTGCTGACAGATGGATTTATCACCCTGGGCCCTGCCCTCTGGGCAGTGAGCATGCTTGTGGGGAGGATGTCGGAAGCCTGTGCTTGGCACCTGGGTGTGCACCCTCTCACCTGAGAACAGAACACAGACGTCGGTTTGTGACAGGGGATGCTGCCCAGAGCATGGTACCTGGCTTGACCCTTGGTTAATGTTTAATGTTGATATCATTAAGCACAGCTGGCTCTTCACGCATTGTAACACCGTGCCATGGTGCCAGATTCCCCAGGGTGATGATTCCAAAAGTGATGACCGACATGTGTTTGTTTTTAAAATGAGAGATATAGGGGCTTCCCTGGTGGCGCAGTGGTTGAGAGTCCGCCTGCCAATGCGGGGGACACGGGTTCGTGCCCCGGTCCGGGAAGATCCCACATGCCACGGAGCGGCTGGGTCCGTGAGCCATGGCCGCTGGGCCTGCGCGTCCGGAGCCTGTGCTCCGCAAAGGGAGAGGCCACAGCAGTGAGAGGCCCGCGTACTGAAAAAAAAAAAAAAAAAAAATGAGAGATACATTTTTTTTCCTGGAGAATTTTGATAGCAGCTGGAAAACCTGCATGGGAAATCAGAGTATTGAGAAAATATATATATTTCGGTCTCCGTTCAGTGCTCCTAGTTTATCCAGATGGCATTAAGAGCAATGACAGGGACTTCCCTGGTGGTTCAGTGGCTAAGACTCCACGCTCCCAATGCAGGGGACCTGGGTTTGATCCCTGGTCAGGGAACTAGATGTCACGTGCCGCAACTAAGAGCCTGCATGCTGCAACTAAAAGATCCCACATGCTGCAACTAAAGATCCCGCATGTGGCAATGAAGATCCCGCTTGCCACAGCTAAGACCTGGCACAGCCAAACAAACAAGTAAGTAAGTAAGTAAATAAATATTTTAAAAAAAAAAAAAGGCAATGACAATCATCAGCTTTGGGAACAGAACAGGGAGCACAATCACAAGCGTGTCCTTTGGACGACCGTAAGTACAGCTTCAGTGTGCTCAGAGCGCTCTGTGAGAATTGCCTGTCAGTCTTTGAGCTGAGAACAAATGGGTCAGTACCTGGTTGGGGGCAGTGAGGCTGTGATGCTCTGAGGTCCCACCGCCCTGGGATTCTGGACCATAATTTCCCCATTTCCTATAAAAAGAACTAACCCCTGACACAGGGAGTGGTTTGCTCATGCTGGTATTAGGATGATAAAGGAAAAACAGCAGCTCTGTGGACACATCCTAGACATGAGAATTTTTATTGCAGAGGGTTGTATGAGGAGGATGGGGAAGTGTATATTTATCAGGGAATCTTGTCTAAGTCCTTGCCTGGAGCATCCCAGTGACCCTGACACAATCCAGTGCTAGCTCCACCCACGTAATCCAGGATAATCTTCCCATCTCAAGGTCTTTAGTTTAATCACATCTGTCTAGTCCCTTTTGCAAGTAATTTAACATTCACAGATCCTGAGGATTAAGATGTGGGCCACTGTTGTGCCTATCATACCCAATAATAATAATGATAATCAACACCATTTTGTGAGAGTTAACCGTATGTCAACATTCTTCTAAACTCTATTTTATCTCATTTCTTTCTAAAACAATCCTTCAAGGTGTGAATTGTCTCCAATTTTAGAGATAAGAATACTGAGGCCAGAAAGGATGAGAGGCTTGCCCAAGCTGATGGTGGACCCAGATTTCTTTCTTTTTTTTTTTTTTTAGATTTATTTATTTATTTTTGGCTGCATCGGGTCTTAGTTGCGGCACGCGGGATCTTCGTTGCGGCGCGTGGCCTTCTCTCTAGTTGTGGCGCGCAGGCTCCAGAGTGCGTGGGCTCTGCAGTTTGCCACACCCAGGCTCTCTGGTTGAGGTGCGCGAGCTCAGTAGTTGTGGCGCGGGCTTAGTTGCCCCGCTGCATGTGCAATCTTAGTTCCCTGACTAGGGATCGAACCCGCGTTCCCTGCATTGGAAGGCGGATTCTTTACCACTGCACCACCAGGGAAGTCCCTGGCCCCAGATTTCAAACTTAGGTGTATCTGACTTCAGAAACCGGGCTCCTAAGCGCTTAAACCTTCTGTTTGCCTTTAGAAAGAACAACTGAGGCTGAGTGGTGAGGGGACTTGTCTAAAGCTCCTGAACCAATATGGTGGGACAGGCATCAGAATGTGGGTCTTCTGACCCCAACCTTGTGCTCCTTCTAATCTTCTACAGCTCTTTCCAATGTCAGTAATAATAATGGTGCTAGGCAATGTCTTTTGACCACTTTGTGTGGGACACTGAACAAAGAACCGCCATGCATGATCGTCATTGGGCCATGGTTTCTTACATGGGTCCCTATCCCTGTAAGGTAGGAACCACTGCTTCTCCCATTTCACAGGGGAGAAAACTGAGTCTTGGGAAGGTTACGTGACCAACCTCAAAGTCCCTAGCTTGTGAGTGGAGAGCCAGGATGAGCACCGCCCGTGTGCCACATCCCATTTCCCCAGGCAGCCCACCCTCTGGTCAGGTCCCATCTTCATCATGGTGCCACCTCATTTGTTTCTTCTGTCTTCCAGATGCCGCCTGTAAGAGGTACCTGTCCAAGCTGAGGACCATGGTATCGGCTCAGTCTCGCTTCCTGAGCACCTACGATGGGACAGAGAACCTTTGCCTGGAGGAAATATATACAGAGAATGTTCTAGAGATCCGGACGGAGGCGGGCATGGCTGGGCCTCTGCAGCAGAGCCCCGCCACCCTGGGCCTGGAGGAGCTTTTCAGCACCCGCGGCCACCTCAACGAAGACGCGGACACTGTGCTGGTGGTGGGCGAGGCGGGCAGCGGCAAGAGCACGCTTCTGCAGCAGCTGCACCTGCTCTGGGCTTCAGGGAGGGCCTTCCAGGAATTTATCTTCGTCTTCCCATTCAGCTGCCGGCAGCTGCAGTGCCTGGCGAAACCGCTGTCGGTGTGGACGCTGCTCTTTGAACACTGCTGTTGGCCCGACCTTGGCCAGCAGGACGTCTTCCAGGTCCTCCTCGACCACCCCGAGCGCATCCTCTTAACCTTCGACGGCTTTGACGAGTTCAGGTTCAGATTCACGGATCGAGACCGTCACTGCTGTCCGACCGCCCCCACGTCTGTCCAGAGTCTGCTCTTCAACCTTCTGCAGGGCAACCTGCTAAAGAATGCCCGCAAGGTGTTGACCAGCCGTCCAGACGCGGTGTCGGCGAGCCTCAGGAAGTACGTGCGCACGGAGCTCAACCTCAAGGGCTTCTCGGAAGAGGGCATCGAACTGTACCTGAGGAAGCGCCATCGCGAGCCTGGGGTGGCCGACCGCCTCATCTGCTGGCTCAGAGCCACCTTGGCCCTGCACAGTCTGTGCCACCTGCCCGTCTTCTCCTGGATGGTGTCCAAATGCCACCAGGAACTGCTGCTGCAGGGCGGGGGGTCCCCGAAGACCACCACAGATATGTACCTGCTCATCCTGCAGCACTTCCTGCTGCATGCCTCCCCGCCAGACCCAGCTGCCCGCGGGCTGGGAGCCGGCCCGCTTCGGGGCAGTCTCCTCACCCTCCTGCACCTCGGCCGCCTGGCTCTGTGGGGCCTGGGCACGTGCTGCTACGTGTTTTCCCCCAAGCAGCTGCAGGCAGCACACGTCGACAGTGAGGAGGTTTCTCTTGGCTTCCTGGTGCGTGCCAAGACGGTCGTGCCTGGGAGTACAGCCCCCCTGGAATTCCTGCACATCACTTTCCAGTGCTTCTTTGCTGCATTCTACCTCGCTCTCAGCGCCGACACGCCGCCATCCTCGCTCAGACACCTCTTCAACTGTCACGGGCCTGGCTGCTCGCCGCTGGCCGGGGTGCTGTCCAAACTGCGCATGTGGGGTTCCGGGTGCAAAGAAGGCAGCGTGGCCGCTTTGCTGCAGGGGGCCGAGCCGCACAACCTCCAGATCACAGCGGCCTTCCTGGCGGGGCTGTTGTCCCAGGAGCACCGGGGCCTGCTGGCCGAGTGCCAGGTGTCTGAGAAGGCCCTGCTCTGGCGCCAGGCCTGCACCCGGCGGTGTCTGGCCCGCAGCCTCCGCAAGCACTTTCGCTCCATCCCACCGGCCGTGCCGGGCGAGGCCAAGAGCATGCATGCCATGCCCAGCTTCATCTGGCTCATCCGGAGCCTGTATGAGATGCAGGAGGAGCGGCTGGCGCGGGAGGCTGTGCGTAGGCTGGACGTTGGGCATCTCAAGCTGACATTCTGCAGCGTGGGCCCGGCCGAGTGTGCTGCCCTGGCCTTTGTGCTGCGGCACCTCCGGCAGCCTGTGGCCCTGCAGCTGGACCACAACTCTGTGGGCGACATGGGCGTGGAGCAGCTGCTGCCTTGCCTCGGCGTCTGCAAGGCTCTTTAGTGAGTGTTGCCGGGCGATGCTGGCTGGGCACAGGGGGAATGCCACCATCGGGGTGCAGGTAGGGGAGCCCCGTGCTGGGAGCCAGGAATCCGGGCCCAGCCCCAGGCCCTGCCACCCCTTTGGTGCAACCCCAGCCGAGTCCCCTCCCCAGTCTGGGCCTTAGTTTCGACTTATGATAGCGATAGTCGTAATTCATGAAATGGTCCACGTGCCAGGCACAGTGTTACGCTCTTCCCAGAAATACCTCCTTTAATCCCCATGACCACCCTGGGCTATAGGCAGGGACATTATTTTCCCCATTATCCTCAATTAGAGGCTCCGAGAAATGAGGTAACTTGTCCAGGGTAACATAGGAGATGGCAGAGCTAGGATTCACAAATCACATCTTTCTGGTTACCAGTCTCTGTTCTCCACAAGCAACCTGTGTGTGGACGGGCTTCAGAGGCACCAGGGCAACCTTTAAGTCACAGGCAAAGTTGGGTGTAATATGTGTTTGTATTAGGAACCACCTCCAAATCAAAGGTGACTTGCACCCAATGAGAGATTTTCTTTTATTTTTTAAAATGTATTTATTTATTTATTTTTAATTGACATATAGTTGATTTACAATAGTGTATCAGTTTCAGGTATACAGCAAAATGATTCAGTTATACATATATATGTCTATGTCTATATAGTTTTTCTATTCTTTTCCATTATAGATTGTTATAAGATATTGAATATAGTTCCCTGTGACACACAGTAAATCCTTGTTGTTTATCTATTTTATATATGGTAGGGTACATCTGTTAATCCCATAGTCCCATGAGAGTCTTTAAAATCCCAATGAGATGGAAATTTCGAGACCCAAGAGATAGAAAGTGGCCACAGAGTTTCACCTGCTTTTTTATTCCTTATGTAGTGGAGAGATTTGGGCCTGGCCCTTACCACTCTCAGCCCCTGTCTGAAGGTGTGAGCTTTCCCATGTTTCTGCCCCAGCCCCCGTGGGCCTCTCTTCACATCTTGGGCCGGATGAGGGTAGAGGGTGTGCCCAGGTCAGGTGGTCAGCACGCTGCAGGCTCCCCAGCTTTCCTTCCAGCCTTCCTGCTCCCTGCTTTAAACCTCTGAGAATGCAGAAGTTATAGCTTTAACTTGAAATTGACTCACAGCCTCTCCAGGGCTTTTGGTCTACCCCAGGTGACCTTAGATTGACCCTGAGCAAAGAAGAAACCTCTCCTTGACTTTATTAGGGTGACCTACCTTCTCTGGGCCAAAGCAGTGAGATTTTTTTTTTCTGCACGGAGCCAAACACATGGATCTCTACTAGAAACTGTGTGGTGGCCTTTGTTATCAGGACCATGGTCATAGATTTATAAATACAATGCAATAATAATGTAATATATAACATATCATAGAGAGTTAATATGTATATGATACATAGTTAATGTATGTGATAAACATGTATATATAGGGAGGATGCTGATTTGGATGATTTGAGGAGAGTTTAATAAAGGGACAGCTTACAAAAGCTTGGGCAGGAGTTAGGAAGAGCAGGTAGAGATGGTGCAGGGTCCTGGGGCCGCTGACAGTGGAGATGGGGTAGGGACAGGGCTGTTGGTCTTCTTAGACCTGAAGGGGTGGGGGATGGGAGGAGTGGCTCTTGGCTGAGAGGAGCAAGCCCAGAGGTCTGTCTGGAAGGACCGAGGCTGCAGCAGCCTGGAAGGGCGAGAGCTGGGGGTAAACCCTGGCCTTCCTGTCCTCCCCACTGTCGCCTTAACCCACAGGGAGCTGGAGCAGGGTGTCTGCGATGTAGTCCACTGGAATCAGCTCCCCACCGAGAGCCAGGCAGAGAAGGGGGAGAGTGGATCTGGCCAGGTAGGCGGAAGATGGCAGCCCAATACCCTAGTTCCCCAGGAAGTAGGAATCATGATATATTCACTCAGGAATTTCGAGACCTGTCTGTGGGAGCTGTTCTGATAGAAATATGAATGTGTGTTTTTCTGGATAATGGACCTCCAAAGTAGTTCTCCAAAGGGTCCTTGAACCCCAGGGGGTCAAGAACCTCTGGTCTGGATAATCCTCATAGATGGATCCCTAGAATGAGTGGCTCTCCTTCTCCTGGGCTGGGAAGGCCCACGTGACTGCCACGGTGTGTGGAAGGGTTGGGTGGAGGCTGGGGCCCTGCCTCGATTTTCAGAGAAAGACCAGGATGGTCTGGTTCTAACGCTCAGACCGGAGTGTGCAGAGGGACTTGTGGAAATGCAGATTCTTGGGCCTGCTCCCAGTGGTTTCCATTCTGTAGGTCTGAGGTGAGGGCCCCGGAATCTAGGTTTTTAACTCAGTGATTCTGCTATAAGCGGTTCAGAGGCCACACTGTGAAGACTGCTGCTCTGTGGGAACCAGCCTGATTTTCCATTAACAGTGAAAGTCCCTGACCAAGTTCCACCGAGATTTACCCCCCACACACTTGGTATTGAAACTGCCATTGCTACAGGGGAGGGGCAGAAACCATGAGGTTGCTGCGTGGGCATTTCCTGTGTGTGACAGAGATAGTGAATGAGGGAGCGGGGCATGGGACAGAGGGAAAGAGACAGAGACAGGGAGGGCAGGCGGGAAGGGGGGAAGAGAGAGAAAGGGAAAGAGAGAGAGAGGTTTCTCTCCCACAGTGCCAAGCTGCATCTCTCCCACTTGAAGCTGTTTCCATGCCAACCAAAACCCTCAGGCTTCAAGAAGCCCCATACACAAAGTGCCCCAATGCGTGTAGGTTTCTTTAGACCCCGATTCTGACTCTAGGGCGATGGCTTTCGAAGTTTTTTGACTGTGACCCACAGCGAGAGAGGGTGTGAGCAAGCACACGGGCATGTCAGGTTGAAATTTCACAAAATGACTTATTAACCGTGATACACTCTGCTCTCTTTTTCCTTTCTCTTCTTTTTCCAATTTAAAAATGCTGCTCTAAACCTTCTGAGTTGATTTTGTGATCCACCAATGCATGAATCTGACGTTAAGAGCCCAGAGCAGGCCGGAAGGGAGAGGCTGTACAACGGCATCGTTTAGAGTGGCCTTTGGAGCCAGAAAACCTAGGCGGCAATCCTTTAGGTGCTGTGCAACCTTAGTGAAGGCTTCACTTGCTGGGCCTCAGTTTCCTTCTCTCTGGTGGACAGAATAGTACCTACTTCATTAAAGATTAAAGAAGAAAAAAAAATGAACAAAAACAAAAAAAAAGGTTAAGGAAGATTAAATATTGTTACTATTGGGAAGGGCTCCATACGTGCCAGTGATCATATTACAGGTAGCTTTTACTATGTGCCAGGTGCGCACAGGGCTTTATGTGCGCTATCTCTTTAAATCCTCACCAAGAGCCCAGTGAGGTCGGCATTACCATCCTTCCTTTTCTACAGATAAAGGGACCAGCAAATAGCTAGTAAGTGGCTGCCAGGATCAGAACTTCCTTTGAGGGACTCCAGAGAGCTTGAGGTGTTAACCTTTAAGTCAGGGCCTCCCAAGTTGGCCTGAAGATGCAGAATCATGGGCACAGTTATTAAAATACAGAGATCCCTGAGCCCCTCCCCACACTTGCAGACTCACCAGCTCCAGGGGAGGGCCCGAGAGTCTGTATTTATTTATTTATTTATTTGCGTGGGCTCTGGGTCCCCACTTCCGAAGCCCCCTACCCTACAGAGTGAGTGACGTCAGCACCCTGGCCAGGCATGGGGGAGTCTCCACTTTTCTGGGGTGCTCTTTCCTTGCAGCATTTCCCAGAAGCACAGATGCTGGCACTTCTGGCTTGAGCAAAGGTCTCTTTTGGGGTTTTGTTCGTTTTTTCCCCTCTCTCATCGGCTCTGTTTTCAAATTTACCTATTTTGTCTTTTTTCAGCTTGCGAGATAACAACGTCTCAGACCGAGGCATCTGCAAGCTCACTGAACATGCTCTTCGCTGTGAGCAGCTGCAGAAGTTAGCGTAAGTCAGGCTGGGCCGTGGACATTTGGCCCCATGTCCCCAGCCTCACTCCAGGCCATGCCGCCTGGGCAACAGCTGTGAGCAAGGGACAGGCTGGGACAGGGACGTTTGCGTGGCCGGAGGGCATAGGGGACTCCTGTCCTGAGGGACCCGGCTACCCGGGCTTTGGGTGGCCGCTGTCCACTGTGCCTCATCTCATCTCCATGTCTCTTCTCTCTCGGAACTTTCCAGTCTTTTCAACAACAAATTGACCGATGGCTGTGCACACTCCATGGCCAAGCTCCTCGCATGCAAGCAGAATTTCTTGGCTTTGAGGTGAGCCTGGGGCTTCCCTACCCCTGGAGACTGTTTCTCATCCCCATAACTAAATCAGTTCGGTCTGGTCTCGGCTCATAATGGGGCGTGTGATCTCCTCGCTGAATACAGGGGCAGTGTCTCATTGAGATCAGGGTTTCACTAATGCTGTGACCTTCCCAGCAAACTCTGGACCAATTCCGCTGAGGCTTCCTGCCCTTTGATCTTTATCTCCCAGGACTGAAGAGGGTTTCCAGGACCTTTTTCTTCCCTGTGTCTAAGACTGTCACCAGCTCTCTGGGGTGCCCGAGTTCCCTGATGTACATTGAGCACGTGCTTGGCAGGGGGCAGAATGCAGCCGTCACTTGTCACCACAGCGAGGCAGCCAGTTGCCAAAAAGTTCTCAGAAAGTCCTTTTACTGCTTGGGGGGGTCCAGTCTGAGAAGTCTGTGTTTCTGCTGCTCCCAGCCCTCTCGGCCTCAACTGGAGTCTCTCTCCCATCTGACACTGCTTTGTCGCCCCTCCAGCTAGTCCCTGGGTTGGCCTGGCTTCTCTTTCTCTCTGGGATATTCTTGCCTCCTGGATTTATGAGGCAGTAAAAGAAGACGAAGTGAGGAGTTGCCTCCATCCTTTCTTTCTACCTGCTGGGCTGGGTTTAGGGATAGGAGCTGCCATTTTGAAATTGTTGACTCAGTCTCAGGCAGGGCTGTTGAGGCCAACACCAGAGGTGTCATTCTGTACCAAGGACTCTCTTTTGCTGCCACCACCTGCTCCTCCCAACTCTGGAACCCGAGAGCAGCTGTGGCCAGAGCTGGGCTGGCCCAACCTCCAGGGAGGGCTGTAGGGTAGCAGAAAGGTGCTGCACCCAGAACTTGAGACCTGTGTTTTTGGTCAATATAGCATCATAGTTGAGAGCACAGGGCTCTGGAGCCAGACCAACCAGGGTTTGGGTCCAGTGTCCCTGAGATTTGAATTCTCATTAGCTGTGTGACCTTGGGTCAGCCCACTATCGCTGTGTCTCTGTTTTCCCTTGTATAAAATGGAGATAATGGTTGTAGCTACCTCATAGGTTGTTGTGATGGTTAAGCGAGTCAACATACATCAAGAGCTGGTACAATATAGTGAGTGCTTTCTATAGGGAGCTTAGTGCCTGAAAGATGGTGGGTAAATCACGTAAGCTCTCAGCACGTTTATTCTGTTCATCCAGTGCTCCCAGGAGGGATTAGATGTGCAACACGTTTATTGGGGAAAATGCCTATAAGGGAAAATTGGGGAAGGAAGCTGGGGGAGGCTGGGAGAGTTGGCCGACTGCAGTGTAGGTCTGACCCTGAGTGAGGGAGAGAGGGAAGGAAGGAGGGGTGGGAGGAAGCATCTTAGACCCCAGTGCAGATCGGGGAGAGGACAGAAGGCTGTTGGGGAGTCCTCCAGCCAGTGTGCCCAGCAGAGGAGTCTCAGGTCTTCCAGTCCTTGGCTGGGAGCAGCCCGTTGGAAACAGGCCTTGGTGCAGAGGGGACATCGGACTTCCCAGCACGGCAGCTGGGGCCTTTCATTACCCAGGAAGCTCAGAGGTTTGAGAGGCTGCCACACCCCTTCCGGAAGGGAATAATAATACCTGCCCTACAGGATTGTTGTCAGCCAGAGTGGCTTAAAGTGTATGAAAGTTTTTTGAAAGATGAAACTGTATTATTATTCCAGGAAGCCTCGAGCTGTGGGTGAGAGTTCTGGGAACCTCCCTGAAACTCTCTGAGGTGTCTGGATTTTGCTGAAACCCCCTCCTTGACCCCTGCCCGAAGGCTTAGCAGGATCCCTTTCTTTCTTTCAGCCACCTTGGCCCGCTCCAGGCCCTTTCCAAACAGGTGGAGGCTACCAGGCAGCCACAATGAATCTGGGAAGGCTGCACGGGGGAGGCAGGGTCTAGCGAGGAGAGAGTGGAAAAGTGAGTCACCCTTGCTCCCTGGGAGAAGCCTCCTTCCTGGGTGGCTGCCTGTTGTGGTTCCTGCTCAAACCTGTCCCATTGCTTTGCAAAACAGGCCCTTCCACTCCTTTCCCTTTGCTGGTGGAAAATGAAGTCCGCAGGAGCCTTGAGGGAGCTCCCCCAGCGTGAACAGCACGCACTGCGTCTGCCCAGCTGGAACTGGAGGGCTGGTTCCTGCATCCTGCAGAGAAGTCCTCAAAGCTTTCTTCCCTGTTTCTCTGTCCAGGCCTCACTTCCCCCACCAGACCCCGGTCGGGGCACTAACGGTCCTCCCATCCTGCTCTCTTTCTCAGCCTCCTCTGTCTTTTCCTTCCAGGCTGGGGAACAACCACATCACAGCCGCGGGAGCCGAGGTGCTGGCCCAGGGGCTCAGAGCCAATGCCTCCCTGCAGTTCCTGGGGTAGGTGGGATTCTGGGGCGGAGGAGCTTGTGAGGATTCAGGGGCAGGCGAAGCCAAAAGGCCCCAGAGGCCACCCAGGCTGCAGTGGGGAGGGCGAGGCAGGGAGAGCGTGGGCGGCCCTAGGCTGCCTCTGCCTTGCTTCGAGCTCAATAAACAGGAAGTTCAGGATGTCAGGGTTGGGGGAGGGCAGAGCCCATGAGAGGTGGCAGGAAGTCCTTGAGGGTGCTAGGGCTGTGCTTCTCACCTTTGTCTATAGGTTGGAACCACTTGGGAGCTCCTGAAGAATGCCACTGCCTGCCCCAGACCAATTAAATGAAATATACAAATGAAAGATACAGGGTCCAGGAATCAGTAATTTTAAAAAGCTCCCCAGATGATGCGCAGCCTGGGGTGAGAGCCAAGGAAAGAGAAGGAAGTGGGGAAGTTTGGACACTGAACCCAGGATGGGAGGGGCTGCACCAAATCCTGCAGAGCCCTTGCCACCTGTAGGGTCATTCCAGGCCTGCCAGGGAGGGGAGAGGGGTCAGATGCAGGCAGGGAGGGCAGTCCTGCAGACCTCAGGGCCCCTGAGTGGGGCTTCTTCTGTTTGCTGGGCAGAGCGATACCCTCCAGTGTTGTACCTGTACAGTTCCCTGCAGACCCTCTCCTGTCCTATCTTCTCCTGGTGTAAACTAGGATCCATTTGATAATAACTGGGGGCTTTAGAACCCAAGACTGTAGGAAGAGAGAATGACCTTAGGGCTGGGGGTTCCAACCCATTTTATAGGCAGGCAAGTTGCCCTCCAGCTCGGTTTGAGCCCCGAGTGGGACCGCGTTGCTGGAGACATCAGCACCTTTTCCAGGATGCATTGGTAGCAGCACAGAGTCTAGGAAAGGGTGGCCACGGCCCCACCGAGTTCCTTCCTGCTTGAGATCACATCTTGCACATCGGGGGATGTTTATCTTTCAACACGTTATTTATTAAGGTACCTGTCTGGGCCTGGCCCTGTGCTAAAATCCCAAACACTGTCATATGATACAAACTGTTCTGTAGCTTGCACTTTGTTTTTCTTATAGGCAGTTTTTACATATGACGTGATCTCATTTTTTAAAGAATAGCTGCCTTAGTATTCTGGTGGATGTCGTGATGCGTTTAGCTGGTTGCATGTCGCTGCACACTTTAGGTTGTTTGCAGGGTTTTTGCTATTACAGTGTCACATCCCCGGAGCACAGAGCAGTGGTGACACAGGGCCGGAGCTCAGTAACTATTCACCTAATGAGTGAAAGTGCAGTGAACATCTCAGGGCCACTGTCTCTGCTCACGTGGGCACCTACAGGTCCAGCCTAACTTCCCACACATAAAATGGCCAGGTCCCAAGGTGTGACCGGGGCTTCACCTTTGAAAAGGGGTGTGTCCAAATTAGGGTGTGTCTGAGGTGTATGAGCCAAAAGGTGGAGTTAGATGCCGTGAAGGGCCCGGGGATGTGAAGAAGGAGGAAGAAATGAAGAGCTGGCTTGTGGAAGAACAGTTAGCCTTGTTCTGGGTGGTCCCAGAGGTAGTTAGGGACTCGTGGGTGGCAGTTAGCACAAGCACGTCTGATCTAATGTCAGGAAAAATATCACAACCATGAATTGGCTTTGAGAATGAGTTCCTCGTCCCTGAGGGTGTACACTGGGTGGGTCTCTAACTATTTTGTAAGCCTGATTTAAAGAAGCTAAAAAAAACCTGAGTGAAGTTTGGCCATCCCTCCAAAAAATGGAGGCAAATTCACTTTGCTGGGACCTAGGAGTCCCCCTGAGACCTTTCTGGGATTGGGTGGTCCTGCCCCTCTGATTGGGGCCACAGAGAGGAAAGGCACATGTCTGGAACACATGGCAGGTTCTCACTGACACTCTCTGTTGGCTCTGTTGGACTTTTCAGGCTCTGGGGCAACATGGTGGGTGACAGGGGAGCCCAGGCCTTGGCTGAAGCCTTGGGTGATCACCAGAGCTTGAGGTGGCTCAGGTATGCCTCAGTGTTTGTCCTGAAATTGTCATGGGGGAGCCAATAGGAGGAGGGAGGAGCTTGGGCCAGTTCTGAAGACCTTTGAACTTCATTTTTAGCCCCCTGTATTAGATAATTGGATGATAAAGAAAAACCACTAGATTTGGAATCAGGACACTTGAGTCTTTCTGGGTGACTTTGGGTCACTTCTCCTCTCGGGGGTCTTGATTCCCTATCTGTACACCGAAGGTCTTGGGCTAGATCAGATACACTTTAGCTCAAGGGCCAACTCCAGTCTGTTAGTGGGGGCTGCCCAGTACACTATGTTGGGAAGGATTCTAAGGCTACTTCTGGGCTTAATGAAAAAGAGCACTGTAATCAATTAGTGATGTCTGGCACTGTAATCAATTAGTGATGTCTGACACGGAGCAGACTAGGACATGGGGCAACGTGTGCCATGCATTTTGCACTTCATGGGTTATCTTATCTCTGAGGTCCCTCCCTGCTCTGACATATTTTTGTTCCTTGATTACATCCAGCCTGGTGGGGAACAACATTGGCAGTGTGGGTGCTCAAGCCTTAGCATTGATGTTGGAAAAGAACATGGCCCTGGAAGAACTCTGGTGAGTTTAGGAGATTCATTGCTCTAGAGAGGCAGACATCAGCCTTTCTTCATTCTCTGGCCTCATCTGTGGAAGCCATTGTGTGTGTAAGACAAAGATGGATGACTGAATGATTGGGTGATTGTGTTTGTCTTTGTCCTGGGTGACATGAAGCTTATAGAGCCTGGCATATAGGTGCTAATTCTTTTCATTTAATTATATTGATTGGTTTGTTGGTTTGTTTACTGCCTCCCTGGGGCATAATGGTTAAGAGAACAGACTCTGGAATCCAGCCAGCTGACCTTCAAGCCCTGCTGTGATCTTAGGCAAGTTAAGTAACAATCTCTGAATCTTAAGTTTCTCACCTGTAAAATGAGAGTATGGATGCTTTCCACTATAAAACACTTCTGTAAGAATTAAATGAGGTAATGCTTGTGAGGAGCTTTGTACAGTGTCTGGAGTGTGTGTAAGCGCTCCATAAATGTGAAATTGTAGTAGTGACAGTATTTCTACTACTCTTGCTGCTGCTGCTGCTCCAGTGACTGCTGTTTTGTCTTTTCGAGGTGAATGTGAGTGCCTAAGGACACTGGATATTAAAGTCAGGGTCACGTGCAAGGTGGAGTGGAGTTTGGCGGAAGTTAAAAGATGAACCATGAATCATATTTATCCTGATTCCAAGCTTTCCATCCTTTAGCTGCCACTTGTCTAGCCTTCTTCTGACATATTCTGGGCAGTTCCAAATTATATCAGGGAGATAAAATGCTGAATGTTTGATTTTTCCGGGAAGCATAAAGGCACTGAAACCTATGAGCATGGCCACAAAATGAATATTGCCAGTGGGCCTTGGCAGGGCCCACTAGCAGGGTCCAGGGCTCACTAGCACTGCCATTGTACCATTGAGTATATCCTGATTGGAATTCCTTGTTAGAGGAGTGCCTCACTGTGAGTGTATCGGTTATGACTGCATTAGGCTGCAAGTGATGGAATACCTTTATTTACAGTGGCTTAAACTTGTAAAGGATTGATGTTTTCATGTACATGCGGTTTGGAGGTAGGCAGCATAGGGCTGGTATGGCAGCTACATGAGGCCAGCAGGGGTCTGGACTCTATCTCTCTAATCCTTCACATCCTTAGCGTGTGGTTTCATCCTCATGGTTGGTTTCCTCATGGTCACAAGGTGGCTGCTGCAGCACCCACAGCACTCCTTCTGTCGTCCAGGTTCAGTCTCTATATCCAGGCAGGGCAAAAGGCTGGGTCTCTCCCCTTTAAAGAACATTCCCAGAGGTCCCATCTGTCAGTTTCTCCTTATGTGTTGGTGGCCATGTGGATGTCACTTGGCCAACCCTGGCTGCAGTGGAGAGCAGGAAACATAGTTTTTCCACCAAGCACATGGCTGCTCCCAATGACATTAGCCTTCCATTAATGAGAAAGAAAGGGAAAATGGGTATTGAGTCACTGGGACATGAGGGAACTTCTTATGTGAAGGAGCCCTGGGGCAAATTCTCTCCCAGAGATGTCCCAGGAATTGAGAACCCTCATACCTTGCTTGGCCTGTTCTTACTTTACTGGTAAATGTGGGTTTTCAGATGTTGGATATTCTTAATTGGGGGAGGGCACATGCATTCATTTTTGTTGGCGTCATCTTCCATAATAAACATTACCATATCACCTGGGTTTTCTCCCTTGTTCTTGCCAGCCTGGAGGAGAACCGTGTCCAGGATGAAGGTGTGTGCTGTCTCGCGAAAGGACTTGAGAAAAATTCAAGTTTGAAAGTCCTGAAGTAAGGAACCTGTAAGCAGGAGCTGGGCCAGTAATGACTGGCCTTGGGAGGGGGTGTTTCTGAATCAGAGATCTGGGAGGCTTCCCAACCTGACTAACTCACAGGAGGTGGCCTGGTAGAAAACTGCTGTTTTTTCTGTGTTCCCCCAATTCCAGGCAGGGGTTCCAGTGTACATCGTTTACTTGGGAGGTAGTCCCCGCAAACACTGGCGAGAGGGTAGTGAAATGAGGCCGGGGAGGGACAGTAACCAAAAAAAGGTGTGTTATCAAGCCGGTTATCACTGGGGACCTCTGGGGTACAATCCTGTGGGCGAGAGGCAGCGGGGGTACTTATCCACCAGCTGCTGTCCTTCACATATTGAAGTGTGCTTGTGGGGATATTTGTTTTCTGGCACATCTGGCTTGCCCCAAACATGGCTGAGCATGTTCCTGGGGTCAGCAGAAAGGCCTCAGGCAGAGAATGGGGGTCTTCCCGGCAAGCAGCCCTCAGAGGTAGGGGTGAGAGCTGAGGCAATATGGGTGGGTTGCCAACAGCATCTGCTATAGTGACTTACAGGCTGGGCCCTTCCCCCCCTCCAGGGGTCCTCTCTGACTCAGGCAGGAGAATTCTGATGGTCATTCCGAGTGGCTCCTCTTGGTGCATTATGCAGGCGGGCATGCTTGCTTTTACATATGTGTGCGTTCATCCATTTATGTATTGATGCAAGAAATGTTTCTGGAGCACCCAGTCCATGCCAGGCTCTGTTTGAGGCACTGAGGATAGAGTGGTAAAGAGGCCCCTGCTCACATGGCTCTTAAATTTGAGCAGGAGAGACAGATTATGAACAAGTAAACAAATGAGACCATTTCTGTTAGTAATAAGTGCTCTCAAGAAAATTCCAGAGAGAGACGGCAGGGAGTGACCGGAGAGGGTAGGGGAGTTGCTGCTGGGTAAGGCCTCTCTAAGAAGGTGACATCTGAGTTGAAACCTGAATAACAAGAAGGTTCCCGCCATGCTGAGGTCTTAGGGACGTGCAATCCAGGTGGGCAGAACAGCAAGTACAAAGGCCCTGTGGCAGAAACGAGCTTGGTGGTTTTGAGAACAGAAGGAGGGCCTGGGAGCTTGGACTGTAGTGGATGGTGGAGTGGGAAGGAGCTGGCCACAGCAGCCTCAGAGCTCTGGGAAAGATTCGGGAGTTTATTCTAAGGACATTGAGAAGGCTTCGGAGGGTTTAATGAGGGCAGTAATGTGATCTGATTTATATCATCCAAAGATCGTGCTTATTGCTTTGTGCAGAACAGGTGGAAGGAGGGTAAGATGGAAGCAGGGAGACCAGCCAGGAGGCTCTTGCACCCTTCCAGGTGAGAGATGTAAAGTGGATCAGGCTGAGGGCAGTGGAGGAAGCTGGTGAAAGGGGATGGCAGCTCATGGAGGTCCTGCGGGTCCAGAGCTGGAGGGCTGGGCAGCAGTGGTGTTGCCGGGGAGGTGATCAGGGGACCACTAGAGGCGCACTCGGTGGTCAGGGACCCATGCCACAAGGAGAGGGATGGCGGGTATGAGCAGGGGCCCAGCCAGTGGTCACCACAGGCTTGTGGAATGGTGCTCTCTGAGGCTCGCGCCACACCAGCCATGGTGCCAAAGGTCTCATTTCCCAGGTATGTCAGGGCACCAGCAGATGGCCCTTTTTGCTAGAGGAGACTGGCCTCTGCCCTGGCAAGCGTGGCCCGGGGAAAACACTCACCTTCCGAGACCAGCAGACAGCTGCAGCTGGGAGAACGTCTGCTTTGCTGCCAACCCGCCATCCACCCTGGCAACACTGGTTTGTGTTGCTTCACAGGGGCTAGGAAGTTGCCAAGTGTTTGGGGAAAACACTTCCACTCGTCACATGGATGAAGCTCGGGCTCGGAGGCCCTGGTGAAGCTTGGCTTTGTCTGCGCTGGGATCCCGGGCTTTGCACGCAGGGCGGCTCTTGGCAATACCTGGTTTATTATCGACCATGTGCGGATGAGGCGCATTTGTCCTCCCTCATTGTCATAGACTTACCCCACTCGAACCCCACAGATGCCAGGCAGTGGGAGCCGCCGATGTCCCACGCTGCTCTGTCGAGAGTCTTATAATTCAGCACCACTGAACTGTATCCTCCTCCACTGTTTCCCCATAAAAATCAAGCTTCTCACATATCTTAAAAAAGAAAAGCAAAGCTTACATCCTTCTTCCAGACGTGGTCTGTGCCAAGCCTTGGTTAAGACTGCAGGCTCTGGAGCCTGACAGCTGGGGTTTGGCCCCAACTCCACCATTACCAGCCGTTCCTGCTTGGATTTGTCCCTCAGTTGCCTCACGTATAAATGGGGTAAAAACTGAACCCTCCACATAGGGTTCTGAGCGTGAGCCCAGGTGATGTAGGTTATGACGTGGCACATAGTAAGAGCTCTAAAAATATTGCCTGCTGTTATTTTTAGCACTGCCTTAGGGTCAGCTTCTCAGAAGTTCCTGAAATTGTTGAGGGGGAAGCCAGGTAGTGGAGATTATAGAAGGCCAGCTGTGAGCAAAAGAGCAGTGTGGGGACCACTTGGCTCTCCCCCTGCTGTCCCTGACTGTATGCCATCTTCCCTCCCCATTTCCAACCTCGTATTTTCTTTAGTCTGTGTCCTTGTGCCCCCAAGGCTCTTAAATGACAATATTACTGTTCATTGATTATTTTCTATCAGTTAAGTACAGTGCCTGGTGCTTTAGAATATGCCATTCTTTGTTTAATTCTTATACTCCATGAGGTGGGTACTCTTCTAGGTCCTTTTTACAGATGAGGAAATTGGGACTCATTTGCTTGAGATCAAAAAGGGAGTAGCGTAAGGTGGATTTGAACCCAGGGGGTCTGGCACTAAAATGCACATAGTTAACCACCATGCTCCTTCCTAAGGGAGCAGCCACTTAATACTCATCTGGTGAATGGAGGAGAGAGGGGTGCATTTCACTTTGGGCATTGAGCCTTGCGAATGAGCTCATTGGGAATCTCTGGCAGGAGAGGGACATGCTGAGGGGGCAGGTGGGCTTCAGGAGGCTGGCCGGCTCCCAAAGCCTCCTTTAATTAAACAGGCTCAAGAAGAGAAGCAAGCACCCTCAAAGCTCACCATTCCATCTTCCTCTCCAGGCTGTCTAACAACCGCATCACCTCCCTTGGGGCAGAAGCCCTCCTGCAGGCCCTTGAAAAGAATGACACCATCCTGGAAGTCTGGTAAGGTCCCTGGGCAGGCCTCTTTAACCTCCCTCAGTTTTCCAATCTATAAATTGGGGTGAAGGGAGAGAGAAACTTGAGAATTTCTAAGATCCCTTATGACCCTGACATTTAGTCCCATTCTGCATGTGATGGATCTGGTTCCCTGGGAAAGATGTCATCATGTTTCTAAGCTGGGACCAACTCTCTCATTTTTAAATCATGAGGGTTTATTCAGGAATGTCTCTGTTCTAGGCAATCGTGTGGGATTTGGGGTGTGGTTGAAGAGGGAAACAGAGAAAAGAACTCAGCTCTTGCCTTCCCGGGGTATCACATCTGCCTTCACAGGTCAACGCTCTTATAATAGACCCTCTGCAGTTCTGGGCGGCTGTTACACAGGGTGGGAACTGTTGGCCAGTGTTTCCAAGTCTTACACGTAATGAAAAGCCATGTTCCTTTATGTATTTGAAAGGAGCAGTACATCACAACTTCAAAGATTTCTCCTTCTTCTTTCCCCCTGGATAAATACATATTTATCACTCAGATTATAGGTAGAAAGGTTTCTCCTGATTTAACATGTTATGAGTGAATGACACTATATATGTTTCAGGCACTGGGCTAGAAACCAATATTTTAAAATGAGGACATTCCCTATAAAAATCTGTCTTTCAGCGGTTTCTCAAAAAAAGCTGGCCACTCTGGAACTCCATTTAGAATGCCAGTAGTTAAGCAGAGTAGAGGACAGGCTGACCCCACTCAGCTGGGCAAACCGGCTCAGGCTGACCCTAAACCCCACCATGCCGATTGGCTTGGACCAGGCCCCTTCGGCTGCTGTATATTACATGCCTCATCCCTGAAAGCTCGTGAACCCTGCTTTACATATGCAGATTTGTCCCTCCCTCAAAAAGCACATCAAGGCAGTAGCAACTGTAGCTATCAAATGATGAAGTTAAAAATAAAGACTTGTAAAAATCTGTCCTACGATGGAGAGAATTTTCCTTTCTGTGCGATTGTGTAATCCCTGTAGCCTGTGAGGTCCTCGGGTCCTGGGTAGAGCGTGGGCTTTATTTTTTTCTTAAACCATTGCACAGTTCTGAGAAATGTCTCATTCTGTGTCCGGGGGGGGAGCAAGCTAGCATCAGGTTGATATTTTAAGGGTTCTGGTGTTATTGGCAGAGCTCGGGAGGACATTGGGATTTGCTCATTGCATTCTTGACAGATTCTGCTGTTGCCTTAAAAAGAATGGCCAGCCTTGGGAGTCAGGGCTGGCTGGGCCCAGCGTGGACTCTGCAGAGCCATGAAGGCTTGTTAAATCGTGCCCAGTGATTCATGAGCCATCCTGGCTGACAGAAGGTAAAACCTGCATAGACTTCTCTCCCAGGAGAGCTGCAGCTGGGCCGGAGGGCCAGGCCATCCAGGCATGAGTTCATAAAGCGGCAGCTTCCCGGTTGAAAACACTGCTCTGGTCCTGGTCTTATTCAAACCTCTCTTTGCTTTATCCCCTTCAGGCTCCGAGGAAACACTTTCTCTCCGGAGGAAACTGAGAAGCTCAGCCACAGGGACACCAGACTCTTGCTTTGATGTCTCCAGGTCAATGTTCATCTCAGTTTGTTTGGGAGCAGGCCGTGGGTCTGGATCCCAGAAACGGGATGACATCTGACAGCAGTCCACTCAGATGGAACCTGGTCCTGCCCAGGGCCAGCCCAATAGGTCACCTTTGTTCTGGCAGAAGAAGGCGCATCAGTGCCCCGCAGAGCAGACTTTCCCAAAGCCTATTTTTCCTGTCAAGTTCTTCCCAAGATTCAATCCTGGGATGTAGAAGAGGGGCAGCCCCCCTCTACATGATGGGGCTGGTCTCGGGCCAACCTGACACGGGTCAGTGGAGCCACGGATGCCACTGCGTGCTTATTGGTGCAGAGAGCTCCATGTGAGGAGGGGTATTCAGGAAGCAACTTTCTGCTGTGTTTCAACTCATGGTCACCCATTAGGTTGTTCTCTATGTCTGGTTCCTCCACTCATCCTGGACCCCTGTACATGGCACTTCCTCTGTGGTTGAGGATTCAGAATACTGGCGTTCTCATCTTTGCTCCTTCCGTTACACCCCAGCCCTCCTCCCGCCCTCCCATTCCGCTCAACACCCCACACATCCTGGGTGGGAAGGGCTTTCATTTACCCTGCTCTCCTTCTGGTACTTAAGACATTTTTGAAAGGGGACACATGACAGCCATGTGTTCCTCAAGACATTCTAGATTTTCAAGAAAAATATGACCACACTACAGCTGGTAGTACCAGCTACCTGGACCAGGTAGTACCAGGTACCTGGACCTTTATTTCCAGTGAAATCAATTACTCTTCAGTTAAACCTTTGGAAACCACTCCCCATCCAAATGCAGCTTTTAAAAATTAATCTGGGCCATAATTTTGAACAGCCCCACTCTGATGCCTGTGAACTGAACTCTGGCAGCAGACTTCCAAAATATATTCATAAGAGACCGTTCAGTTTTATTTGTGCCAGAATGCTTTAGGATATAAAGTTATGGATCAAAAGTTTACAGGGCAAAATCAAAGGCCCTTCCTTATAAAGCAAATGTTTATTCTGAATTTTTCAAAATGATGCATGTTGAAGCTTTTCTAAACTGTCAGGTGCTGTGCAAGTGTTATTATTTTAAACACTGTTATCTGTGAAAAACTGGTTAATATTTATAAACCACTTGGTTTTTTTCTCCCAAGTTTATGTTTTTATAACAAAATAGGGCCATGAATTTTATGCCGCACATAATCACAGAGGAGAAAACCATTGAGTCACCGAAGCTATCTTTGTTGAGACCAAACATTTAAAAATATTCCTGAACATTGTCAAATATTAAAGCACAATTTTCTACTTGAAGGGGGGAAACATGATGTTTCAACCAGATAGTTGATTGCTTAAGGCACAAGCAAGTTTTAGAAATAGGCTTGCAATCAAAACACATTTGGCTTTGGTTTAGAAAAGTCTAATCCAGCATGAACTTTAGGCTGCGGCAAATGTGAGAAATGCGAGAAGGACCCCTGGGCCTCCCTCCATTCTCTCCAAGTGGCTCCGGGAGTCTCTAACAGGAGAAGATTTGAGAACAGTTCTCCTCGGCAAGCAGCCTCCTGAGTGGGCCTTGGCGAAATAATTCTTAGCTGCATTTAATTAGCAAGGACTCACGTGGCTGCTCATCAAGGTGAAATCTGCTTCCTTGAATGGTTTCGTGTGTGTCTGGTTGGTTAAATGTTGTGACATCTCCCTGGGCCCTTGCCCAGGGAGAGCATGTGTGCGGGTTCTCTTTGTTTGTTCGTTTTAGTTTATTTATTGATGCATAGTTGATTTACAATGTTGTGTTAATTTCTGCTGTATAGCAAAATGATTCAGTTACATATATAGGTACATATTCTTTTGCATTACGGTTTATCACAGGATATTGAAATAGTTCCTTGTGCTGTACAGTAGGACCCTGTTGCTTATCCATTCTATAGATCTTATGTCTGCTCACCCCAGCCTCCCACTCCATCCCTGCCCCACCACCCCTCCCCCTTGGCAACCACAAGTCTCTATGTCTGTTTCTTTTCTCTCTTTTTTTTTTTTTTTGCAGTACGCGGGCCTCTCACTGTTGTGGCCTCTCCCGTTGCGGAGCACAGGCTCCGGACGCACAGGCTCAGCGGCCATGGCTCACGGGCCCAGCCGCTCCGCGGCTTGTGGGGTCCTCCCGGACCGGGGCACAGACCCACGTCCCCTGCATCGGCAGGCAGACTCTCAACCACTGTGCCACCAGGGAAGCCCTGTGAGTCTGTTTCTGTTTCATAGATAAGTTCATTTGTATCCTATTCTAGATTCCACATATAACTGATATCATATGGTATTTATCTTTCTTCACTTAGTATGATAATCCCTAGGTCCATCCATGTTGCTGCAGATGGCATTATTTCATTCTTTTTCATGGTTGAGTAATATTCCATTGCATATATTTGTATGTGTGCGTGTGTGTGTGTGTGTGTGTGTGTGTATATCTATATATATATATCTATATATATACTGTATCTTCTTTATCCATTCATCTGTTGATGGACATTTAGGTTGTTTCCATGTCTTAGCTATTATAAACAATGATGCTATGGACATAGGGGTGGGTTCTCTTTGTTGGTGGCATCAGGTTCTGTCTGACCATTCTTTCAAATAGAGAAGATCAGGAGGAAGATGGGGGGGGGCTGCTTTCTCAGAGGAGTAGACAGAGCAGCCTGTTTGCATGGCACCATCTTGCATTGCAAATTCATCTGAACAGAACAGACACCAGCCCTGTCATCAAGGCACTGGTGGGGAGGGCAGAGGGAGAGGCAGGCAGAAAACAAGTAAACTTGAAAATATATAAAATAAGGTCCACTGTGTCAAGTGCTAGGAAGGGAATAAAGTTTCAAGATAGAAGGAAACCTTTGGATTGGAGGCTGTTCAGAGACAGGTTCTGCGAGGAGGTGACAGGTGAGGTGACAGGCCCCCAGATGAGAAGGAACTGGCCATGCAAAGAGGGAGGGGGACCTGGGGGAGCATTCCAGTCACAGGGAACAAGCTTTACAAAGACCCTGTCATGGACAAGAGCTTGGTGGGTGTGGTAGGCTGAATAATCCACGCCCCACCTCAAATAGCCAGGTCCTGATCCCCGGAACCTGAAAACGTTGCTTTACATGGCAAAAGGGACTTAAAGATGTCATTAAGTTAAGGATCTTGAGATAGGGATATTATCCTAGATTATCTGGGTAGACCCTAAATGCAACCACAAGTGTCTTTATAAGAGAGAAGCGAAGGGAGACTTGACACAGAAGAAGAAGGCAAGGTGACCACTGAAGTAAGAGGCTATACTCCTGGCTTTGAAGGTGGAGGAAGGGGCCTCATGGGCCAAGGAATGCAGCTTGAGAAGCTGGAAAGGGCAAGGACACACATTTTCCCCTAGAACCTCTGAAGGGAGTGTAGTCCTGCAGCTACCTTTGTTCTAGCCCCATTTTGGACTTCTGGCCTCCGGGACTGTAAGAGAATTACTCTGTGTTGTTTTAAGGCACCAAGTTTGTGATAATTTGTTACAGCATCCAGGAAACTAATACAGTGTGTTTGAGGCAAGCTAAGGGGAGAGCCCACCACATGGGTCTGCAGAGGTAGGTAGGGCCAGTTCATGAAGGGACTAGTTGGCCGTGGGAAAGAATCATGGCAGGCCATTGGAGAGTTCTAAGCAGTGCAATGCAACCCATTTAAAGAAGATCTCTCTTGTTCTGGGGTGGAGAAGCGACTGGAATGCATAAAGGTAAAGGTGAGGAGAAGAGGAAGTAGACCATCTAGGAGCCATTGCAGGGGAGAGGCAGCTGGGCAGCATCAGGGGGTATCAGTGGAGGCGGAGAGAAAAGGATGGATTCCAGAGATATTCTAGAGGTCAATTCCCAAAGGTTTACAAATGGAATGGATGAGAGGGATGAGGGAAAGTGAAGACTCAAGATATCTGCTAGATTTTTGACTCGAGTAACTGGGGAGGAAACAAGTTTGGAAGCAGGAGAGACTTCTGTTTTGGATTTTCAAGTTTGAGGTATCTAAGTAGAAAGGTCAAATGGAGACGCCACGTTCTGGCGTGGGTCTGGAGCCTGTGGGAGAGGTCACCACCAGATATAACACCATGGGCAACCTCAGCATCAAAAGGGGAATGGGGTCCTTGGGCCTGGATGATATAACCCAGGGAGAGATTATGGAGAACAAAGAGCTCAAGAGGGCCCAGGTGGGACTACTCTGGTGGCGCAGTGGTTAAGAATCCGCCTGCCAAAGCAGGGGACACGGGTTCGAACCCTGGTCCGGGAGGATCCCACGTGCTGTGGAGCAGCTAAGCCCGTGCGCCACAACTACTGAGCCTGCGCTCTAGAGCCCGCGAGCCACAACTACTGAACCCGCGTGCCACAGCTACTGAAGCCCGCGCGCCTAGAGTCCGTATTCTGCAACAAAGAGAAGCCACCACACTGAGAAGCCTGTGCACTGCAACGAAGAGTAGCCCCTGCTTGCAACAACTAGAGAAAGCCCACGCGCAGCAACGAAGACCCAGCACAGCCAAAAATAAATAAATAGATTTATTTAAAAAAAAAATTTAAGAGGGCCCAGGTAAGGGTGGAACTGAGATCTTGACATGTGATTACTGTCAGAGCTCAGAGTGGATGTTTCCTACCTTGCGAAAGGCCAGTAGGCCCACCAAAGGCATTCTAGGTATCTGCTGGTAACTTGTGAATTAGGACTCTTAAAATTCTCCAACAGGGAGGTTACCTGAAAGATGTGTGCTGGTGGCCAGTGGCTTATCCGGGAGCAGGCAGATTCCAGATCTGTAGCTCAGAATATTTAATTCTTCCACACAGAAAAAAAAGGTATCAGAGCAGAAGAATTTTTAAAGAGCTTGAGACTTTAATTAGATTCACCATCATCTTAGAAGAAAAAAAAATGTCAATCTGAGTGTTTTTTTTTCCCAAAACCTAGAGTGCCAAACCCAGATGCTGAAATGAATACACCCCACGGAAATGTGGGAGGCGGAATCCCATTCCAAGCGGGCTGCGTTGAGACTGCATGCGGCATCATTTCATTATTGCACCAACACCTTCACGCCTCCTTTCCCGCTCGGGAGATTGGTGCAGCACACAGCGCTCAGGGCACACTCCCTGGCAAGGCCTTACGGGAGGGGACACAGGGCCTCGGGCCCTGGGTGGCAGGTTCCAGTGGGCAGCAAGGTCATGAACAACATCGAGGACTGGCCTGGGCAGTTGCCCTTGGAGAACTACATAGGGGGAGACTGCAGCTGTGCAGACTGGCAATCCAAGCTCTTTGGATTCCCCAAGATTTCCTTTTTTTTTTTTCTCTCTCTAAATGTAATCCCACCTATCATCACTTCCAGAAAAATCCACAAATCCAATCCCCTAAGTGCTACCCCTGCCCCGTCAATCACCTGAAAATCCTTCCTCTCAGGAAGGGCTGCATCTCTTCTTTATCTGGACCTTCTTTCTTGACATCTTCAGTTCCACATTCCCCTCCTCCCACCTGCTCTCTCCCACGCCCCAAGAAACAAGGGGCTCCTTTGGGGCCCACCCCTGCCTGATTACTGACTGGTCTCTCTGCTTTTGCCCTTGTCCCTCTGAGTGAGCCCATTAAAACATAAGTCAGATGAGCCAGGGCTCTGATTTAAACGCCTCAGGACTTCCCATCCGGTGCCGGGTAAAAGGCGGGGTCTGCTGCTGGCCTGGACCACCCCTGTGTTTTCTCTGGCCTCACCCTTGTCACTCACACCCGCATTCTCTGAACTCCAGCCACACGGGCTTCTTGGCTCTTCCTTGGCAACGCCAAGCACACCACTGCTTCCAGACCCTCGCACTTGCCTGTCTCCTCCCACTGGGACACTCTTCCCTAGACGCGGCATGCCTGGCTTCCTAGTTTCCTTCGGGTCTTTGTTCGCATGCTACCACATCAAGAGAGCCGTTCCCTGAACAATCTACCTAAAATAGCAGTCCCCAACCACCTCTTCGACCCTGCCCTGCTTAGTCCTCTCTTCTCAGCATGACCACCTGATGCACCCTTGTTTCTTCCTTCCCCTAGAATGTCAACTCCATGAGAACATGGGCTAAGCTCACTGCAGCATCCTCAGAATCTAGAACGGTGCCTGGCACATACTAGGTGCCCAAATATTTGTTGAATGAAGGGAGAATCCACCTACTTAAAAGGAGCAGAAATAGAAGTTTCTGCCCCTGGGGTAGATTCTGATAATGAGTCACTTTTTTCCGACACTGTTAGTGTCTCCTTCCTTAGGGAGGAAGGCTTCCTGGGCCATGGGATCATTCCTAATGTATCTACTGCTCAAAATGAGACTCTAGATGCAGCACAAAGATCCCAAGGGAGAGCACGAAACCCTTTTTCTCTCTGTGTGTGTTTTCTAAATCACACAGAAATCATTTGTCATTGATAACAGCAAATAGCTCAAACAGGAGAACATGGATTTATAGTTCAGTTGGATTAGTTTAAAGATGATTAAAATAATCTCTTTTATCTGATTAAAAAGAGCTTTTAGGTGACCGGAGTACAAGCCCTCAGACAGAATGTTCAGTTGTGTTTAGCATTTGCCCTCGCTAAAAGAGAAGCACATCCCCGAGATGGTGGGCTCTCGACTCAGCCATTGACTGAAACACCACACCGGTCTATCATGGAGAGAGCAGTGGTATGGTGTCCTTGTCTGTGGGGACGCCTGGTCCATTTAGCCTCGTGGTTTAGAGTTCATGAATGCACACGTTCCTAGGACTGGACCCACGGGAGGCTGGATGAAAAACTAGTAGTTGCCATTTACTGAGATGGGGGAGTGGAAGTGTGAAATATCAGGATATTTGGGTTGTGCAACAGGATGTAAAATTCACACTGAATTTGGCAAGGCTGGAAGTAGGGGTAGCCTGTGGCAGCGATCTGGGAAGCATGGGGCGGCATCTCATGAATAAACATGACCAGTGCTGCTGTGAAGGTTTTGCTGAGACCTGACTGGGTGTTACTCCAAGTCATAGGCCTCTACCAGGCAACCAGGAGGGTCCCAGCTCCTGGGGGAGAGAGCTCCATTCAGTTCACCGGCTTTTTGTTGGGGTCCTGCTATGTGCCATAAGAGAAGTATGCAAGGTAGTGCAGAATTACAGTTACTACCCTGCTTAACACCCTTTAGAGGGCTCTGACTGCTCTTGGGATATAGACCACCCCTTGGTCCTTGCTCATCAGGCCCTAGACAGGCCCTTCTGCGCCCACACTTTCTGTGCTCTGCCCCTTCCAGTTCCTCCAATATGTCGCGTAACATGTTCCCTTTGCCTGGGGTGCTCCCCTCACCCTGGCTGCCAGTCAACTTTCCTACCTCATCTTAAAGATGACTTCCTCAAATAGGCCTTCCCTGGGTACCCAGCCACCTTTGATGTGTGCTCAGAGCAGTTCTCCTTCTGGGGCTCCCTCTAACCGCCCCAGTTAAGTGATGGTGTAATTATTCGTTTAAGGTCTGCCTTCCTTGCCAAAGGACGAGGGTGGCATCTCTCTCATACGCTGCCGTGTTTCCTGCTGCTCGCACAGTAACAGAACCACCGGTCATGTGAAGCCAGGGCCAGGCTGAGTGGAAGAGGCTGCGGGGTGGTGGGTAGACAGAGGGGATCAATGGGGCCTGGAGCTGTCAGCAAAGACCCCGGGAAGTGGGTGGACTCTGGCTGAGCCTTAAATGAAGGAGGATTTGGAAGGCAGAGAGGATGGGCATTTCAGTTGGAGAATCCATTTAAACAGAGGTAGAAAGAGCCCTGGCTTGCAATTAGGAGAATCAGGGCCCCAGCTCATCTCCTGGGTGACTGTTGACAAGCTGTTTTCCCTCTCTGGACCTTAATCTCCCATCTGTAAAATGAAAGGCTAGCTTACTAAGGACTGTAAGTAATAGCACCATGACACCGTTTCCCATTTCATCCCCTGGCAGGCATCTCTCTTCCCTGTGAGCCTGAATACAGCTTGAGAATTGTTTTCAACACAATGTTCTAGGCGGTCATTACCAATTGATAGGAGATGGTAATTGAGATAAGCCCTGTTTATCCCGTCTGCCTTGGAAGAATATCTGTTGGATGAATTTGGGCCCTGACACTGATTCAGGGAACCTGTGACAGGAGGGCTGACCACCGCTGGTAGGGAAGAAAGCCCTCCTGAAGCCTAGGGCTCAGTGGCACCAAAGGACCCGAGGATGTTCTATGCCAGGGGTGGCAAATTCAAATGCCTTCAGGAGCCAGCGGATAATGTAAATGAGAGACGTGTTCCAGCAGGATAAAATAGGGAATGGTGAGGAGTGTGGCAAACTGGAGAAAGGGAGTGGGCTTGCCCTGTCTAAAAGGATTCAAAATCATTCTCCCTCATCCCACTTCTTCCTCCTCACTGTATGGGTCAAGCAAAAACAGTCCTCAGGCTGAATTTTTCTTCCCAACAGCCAGACTGTGACTTCAGAGTCCTATTGACTTTTTTTGGAGAACCTAGATCTAGAAGGGAACAGTGTTGCCTAAGGCCACACTTAGAGTTAGGCCTGTTGAGTCTCATTTTATTGCTTTCTCCTGCATTGTGATCATGAAGATGGCTAAGGATGGACTAAAGAGGGACAAGAATGGATTGAGGTTTTCAAAAGATGTCCATTTCATTCTGGGCTCTTATGGCAAAGGAGATGGGTGGCCTGTTTACCAGTAATGTTAATAATCACTCCTGTGACTTATTTTATGGACTCACTGGTTTAAATTCTCCAGATTTTCAGAAATGTCACTTTCCACTGAGGAAATTTTCCCTCTCATGGTTAAACACACACACACACACACACACACCACATCTTCCTTCCTCAGTATTAATCACCTTCTCCTATAATTGGTAGTTAAAATGTCAAAGGAGAAGGAATTAATTAACAGGAGTATCCGGTGCAGCAAGGCATGCTGCAAGGCTCTGGGACTGATTATAAAAAGCACTTCCTTAAATATTGTGAGCACTTTTGGGAATCAGAAATCTCCCTTCTAATTGAAAGATCCTTAACTACAACCCAAGTCCTGGCTGGTGGCCAGGGGTGTAGATCTGTGGGAGGCCTTGTGTGGAAATCCCTTCTCCATCACCCTAGGGAGACGTTCCTCCAAACTGGGATAGGTGGCAACGGAGGTTCAGAAACAGCAGGGGTCCCACACAGAATCTGAGGAAGAGGAAAAGACTTAACATTACTGAGCTCTTGCTGCGTGTCAGGACTTTACATACGATTTTTCACAACAATCCTGTAACACAGGCGATCCGATTATCTCCATTTTACAGATGGGGAAATTGAGGCTCAGAGCAATTGAGTTCCCCGTGTCACGCGGCTACTAATTGAAAGCGCAAAGGATTCAAACTTAGGTCTTATTCTAAAGCTTTGCTTTTTCGTGGAATCCTAAAATCCTATTCCTAGCTTGCGTCTGGGCTTCTCCCCACCCCAGCTCCGAACTCTCAGTCTACAGGAGTTTTGACAGCTAAGCCAAAAGCCAAGACCCGGGTGGAGCCGGGAGAAGCACAGCGCCCCGCCCCGGCTCTGTTGTTAGCCAATGGGGCCGTGGCACCCGCAATATTTCGTCCAATCAGCCAGAGACCCCGCCCCCCATATCTCCAGTTCTCCTCCCCTCCCCTTCGCTTTCCCTTTGGCTCGACCGAGCTTGACGGAGCGGAAAGTCCCTTCAGTCCGCTCCGGGCCGGCAGCCATTGGAGGAAGGTCTGTCACAGGACGGCCCAGTCAGAGCGTGCTTAGGAACGCAGCTCGGGCTGCGATTGGTTAGCGTCGGGATTGCCCCCGCCTACCCCTCTCCCTCCCTCTGTCCCTGGGCGGTTCGGAGGCGGGGCAGGTGGGGGCGGGCCCAGGTAGCAGGTTCGGCTGCACGGGGGCTAGCGCGTTGGAGGTAAATACTAGGGCGGCGGGTGTGGGGCGCCGGGGCCGACCCGGTAGGCGGGCTAGCGAGACTGGGGAAGGGGCGATGCCCCGCCGCCCGAGGTGAGTGAATGAGCTGGCGGCCGAGCGGGCGAGCGACTGGCGGCCCGGTCCCTCGGGCGCCCCTCCCCGGCCTCTGGGCGCCTCAAGCTACCGCGGCGGCCGTCGGGCCTCGGCGCCGGCCCGTTACTTGCCTCGGCCCTTAGCCGGCCGGGCCCGCGGGGTGCTGAGTCCGCTGACGTCAGCCTGGACTTACCCACTCCCCGGGGCTTCCCCACCGACACCTCAGCACCCCCCCCGGCCTTCCTGAGAGGGCTCCCAAGTCGTGGGAGCGTGGTCACCACCGCCAGGACCCCGGGAGAAGAGAGGACTTGGGGGTGGGAGCAGCGCAGGAAACCGTCTGCCCCTTGGGCCCCCCATTTACAGATGGGGAAACTGAGGCACGGGCCGCTGGCTGGCTCCCGACAGCCCGGGTTGGCATCGAGAGCCCCGGGCTGTAATACTGTCACATCGGTGCCTTGGGTTTTGGAGTGTTTGTGACTCCTGTCCAGGAAGAGCAGTCGGGGTTCTGGCCTCGTTAATGGCGTGTTGTGTTTTTCTTTCAGTTTCTCCCTTTCCAGGGTGAGGATGGTTTTACACAACAACCCGGAGTTCTTTAGTTGAAAGGTGCGCTCTGTTGAAGCAAGGTATTCATTCTTTTCTTTCTTTTTTTCTTTATTGTCATATTAACGATCTCTGGGGAAATCGTGAAGTCTTTATGGAAGATGGTGTTCCTGAGTTTGGTTTTCAGCCGGCTCAACTGCCCAGTTATTCATTTACTTGGCATCTTTTCTATTCCACCCTATGGCATTTGCATGTTTTAGGATGGTTGTCACCTTCCAGCCACCAAGCTTTTCAGTCCCCATCATGCCTGACCCCTTCCTCTCCTCAGGTTCCCTGGAAAGTTGTATGCTTAGCTTAGCTTAGCTAAGGAGCATTCCCTGCTTGGCTTTTGATTTCGGGCTAATAGGGATCTTAATAAGATTGTTCCTTTTGCAGTCATTGGCTCCAGGAGAAAAATCCAGGCCTTGAGAGAGGGTGTTCATTCAAGCGTTGGTTTTCTGCGCACCCCCTCACGCCCCAAGTAGATTGAATGGTCTAAGAATTTAGCTTGCTAATTCCCTACTGAGTAGTGGGTGGATTTGAACTAGCACAATATTAGGTGAAAATGATTTGCCGGAAATTCTTGTTGAAGTTCATGTACTGTGAATGTTGATAACGCCTAGAACATTCTCTAATGTTCTGCTACAAAATTTTATAGTACTCTTTCGAAGAAGCCTTCCTTTGGAGGGTAACTTTAGTGAAGAGCTGATAAGACCAGGGCACTTGTTATATAAAACAACAGACATGCAGCAGGAATGATTTCTTGTGATCTGGCATGCCTAAACTGTGATTTTGTTCAAGGAAGTCTTTAACATAGAAGAAAGGAGTAAATTATCCTATTCATCAAACTTTTAGTATTTCATTCCTGATTTTCACACTGTGATCTTAAATTTGTCAAGGTATTTTCATTGGTTGCTTAGAATTTATAGGCATCAGACATGGTGTGAGAATCTAGGAACCCAGTTTCAAATGAACCTCAAAACAACTTTTTGTAATTGTGAAATATTCCTTATTTGTTTCCTCTTATGTGTGTAACAATGAAGTGATATAAAGACCATTCCTTCATTGAGCCAGAGAATTAGAATTAGCATTTATTCAGGGAATTAGGTAAAAACCTAATTACTCTCAACTCCTGAGTCTTTTCTCTTTTTCTTCTTTTAACCTAAAAGAAGCTTTTAATCACTTCAACGATTAGGATGAGGAAATGGAAGTTTGGCTTTCACTGTTATCACCTGAGTTAACCAAGTCATTCATTCATTTCTTATGTACTGATTGTCTAACATACTGTCAGGCTCTTGTTTGGGCAGTGGAAATATAAAGATGAAGGACTTAGAGAGTTTACAGTTTGGAAGTGCAGTGGCCAGGTTTAACTCCGGTGAGACAGGAGTGTTTCAGGTTCTTCAGAGGACGTGAATATGCGGATGTGGGAGCCAGACTTTCTTCCAAACCTCATAAAACCCACTTGTTTAGGTACTGAATAAGTGTGTACTTGGGTCACAAATTAATCTATGAGGAAAACGGACTCTTTTCTGGTCTGGTCTCTTTTCTGGAATCTCTGCTGTTTGGGAATATACAACCTTGTTCTTTTAATGGGAAATATTCTTTCTTAAAATGGTAATTATTCTAGCCATCTAGAAGCATTTGGAAAAAGTCCTGTGTATCTTCTTTTTTTTTGGGTATGCACACTGGCCTCCCTACCTGTTTGTCATTTATAATTATGGGCAATTTTTTAGTGTTGTAATGTTTATTCTGATATACATAGACCCCTGTGGTTTTTAGAACAAGTCACGATATCTCAGGAGATGCAAAATGTTACTGAATTACATCTGTTTTTGTTTTCTTTGGTGAAGTTCTTTGAACAATAACCTGATAACTTGAGAATCAAAATGACATTGTTTCTTCTAGATAAGTTAACCGTTGTCACATTCATGTAGCTAATGCTGTTCATCTGTACTATATATTATCTTTTAGAACTAATTTGGACCTTTAATATTTTCATACGAAACTTATTTCTCAGTCATCTTCTTTTCATTGCATTTGATAGGAAACTGATATTTGTGCCTTCCCACCCTCACTTGGTTTAATGACTTTATTGTAATACAGTTAAATTCTCCTTTACTCAGAATCCAGACCATCAGCAAGCTTAGATAACCAGATAATTTTCAAATCTATCTGACCCTGAATCTCATCTGAAGTGTTGTCAAAAGAAAGTCCTGTTGAGTATGGTTTTAGCGTTAAAAATATTATTGTATTCCAACTCTTTGATAATCTTCATTCAGTACTTATAGTATTTATCAGGATATTCATAATTACTCAGTTTTTCGGCCTGAAATAAGTATGATGGTATTTTAGATGAATCGTTTGTGATACATTTACACTCAAAGTGAAGTACAGTATATTGTTAGAGGCAATTTTTAAACAATTAGACCTGGAAGGTAATAAAAGAACACAAATGATGGCAGCCATCAACCTTAAATCTTCTGTATTTTTCAGTGTCTAACACTGTGCTGAGTCCATAAAAATACTAAACTAACAAACCTTGATTGATAAAGAACTCACTGACAATGCGATTTAAATCCTTCCCTGTGGTCTTGAGTCAGTTTTTACTGCTTGGGGTTCTTTAAGACTTAATTTTAGTGTTGTGCATATCCCAGTGAAAGAAGAATGTGGGCATCGTATTCATTTCTACAGGGAAGAAAGTCTGTATTAGCATATTCTGCTGTAATGCCAGTAAGTTGAGATATTAATGTTCATTAAATTTGTCTTATATACCTGTAATAGAGCCATAAAGTTCCCTGTTCAACTTTCTCTATCAGTTGCAATGAGGAGAATCAATTTTTAATATGATAATTCCAAACCTATTCTTTCTTCATGTATTCTTTTTCAAAGAGGAAAACCCACATCCTTTTTACTTTTTGGATAACGCTTTTTAAATATTTTATAACTTTTGCTTTGGCTGTTCTAGTTGTCTAACATGACCCATCCTGTTAATGAGTTAAGCTCACTCTGACTTGTGCTAATGCAAGTCAGAAAAAAGTTACTACTAGTTGTGTAGTTAACTTTAAAATACAGTTCTTATTAACTATTATTAAATTGCCCTCAACCTTTTTATAAACCAAAGTAGTTATATTTTACTGTGGACTGTCTCTTAAATGATTTGCAAAAAACCAATCTTGTAATCAAATTCATTTAAAATAGGGTGTCCTAATGCCTTCCATACAGTGATTTAGTTTTGTCTTGGTAATATTCCATTAGCACTGGTGGTTTTTATTTTAAATCATGACATGGATTGTTAAGCTAGAGCATCAACAGAGCAGAAGTTGTTGGCATATACTAATTATTAAGATTCAAGGAATTTCTTAATTTTAATATTTGAAGATATAATTTGTAGGAACTTAAAAGATATCTTTTCAAAATAGAATTGCCATACTTTAAAAACAATTTTTGGTCAAAAATATTTAAATATATTCTAAAGAGAACAAAACAACTTCACTTTTTTAGGAGTTGCTTTTTGACCGTCTCATCCTTCCGGGAGCAACCGAAATAATGTCTATGCAATAAAGCCTATGCACTTTACTCCTAAAAGACCCGTTCAGAATTTATGCATTCCTCTTTTTGTTATTGTTTTGTTTGTTTTTTTTAAAACACACAACCATATTTCATCACCTGGCTTCCCAGAACTCATTAGAAGCAATAAGTTGGAAAGCAGCAAGGCTGTAAAATAAGTCAAATGCATGTTGCAGGAAACCACAGAAAATGGCTGATGGCAGGGGAAAACCATAGACTGTAAATCTACAGAAGGCAGACGAAGAACTCAGAAAGCATGACGTAAAGCCTCATTACAAAGTAACGAACACGCTTGCATATTGAGGGTCACACATAATAATTTATATTCATGTTGATAATTCAGTGATCAAGATAAAAATGAGGCTATTTCCTTGTTGAAAAGTGCTGACATTTAAAAAGAATTTTAGTCAGCAATAACAAATACTTCATTTGAGGACTTTTAAGGAATAGAGCCAAATTATGGTTTGGGTCGCCTTCCTAAGGGGTTTTGTTTATATGGGGTTTCCACAGGTGTCTTATATAAGTAGCAAACATAAATTGATCCTATTCCTGCTGAAGAGACAGTGCCCTCAAGTGGAATTAAGACAAACACATTATAAAAAAAAGAAAAGAAAAAAAAAGAGAACCACTTTATGCTGCTTGCCCTCACTAAATATTGTGCATATATTTGTTGTGTATATATTTCGATAATGTTGGCTTGAGGAGGTGCCAAGCCCTTTACCCTGTCGTGGGTGATCTTCATGTCTCATTCTGGCTTGTAGAGGGACAGACTTTTAAAACTTTACCATTATAGAGAACCTCACTATCTACCAGTGCGTTCTAAAAGAAATGTTATTCCGTGTGTAGATTTGCCAGATCACACATTTAATCATTAAGTTAAATGGTTAAACTTAAAATTTGGCTCTTAAGTTTTAGGAGTATTTATTTTTTAATTCCAAGAATAAAATAGATAAATATGATAGTGCTATCACCTGCTGCTTTACCCAGAATAATGGAAATGGATATGGCTACCTCAGAGAAGGATGGAATAAATACCATAATCAGAAACCAAATAGCCACATGCATGTGACAGAGAATACCTAAGAACTATTGTTTTCAGTAAGATAATTAATTAACATAATGAATTAAAGTCTTTACTTGAATTGATGAAATTGTGTAGTTTTAAACCCGTGATTCAAGTAGGGTTGAGAAGGCTATTTTAATTGCAAAAGATTAGCATTCTTGTAAAAATTTTTAATGAAAAATTGAAACTGGAAAAGAAATAATCCTTCATGTATTCCTTTCTAGTATACATAGTTAAACTTGTGGTATAAAAACATTTTATATTTGATGCTGTACTGCAATTATATTTCTTCCTTATGTAGTCCAAGTTTTGATGGCTATAAAATTGATTTTTAAGATATATTTAATATTAAGCAGATTTATAATATCTGATATTTATGATTGAGAGAAATTAAATGATAGCTATGATTAATACTATTAACATTTGCCTAAGGACAAAATGTTCAAGATTAAGGAAATGAAACTGAGTTAGATAAAATGTTCCATTATTAAACTGTGGTACACAGATAAATGAGTTGTGGTTGAAGTTTCAGAATGTGATTTTATGGTATTTTTATTGATAAAAATGTTCAATATAATAATTGTGATGGGTAACTTTTTACTTAAACTACCTGTACAGATATATATATAAATAGCCTTTTTGATTTGTGCGTGTTGCCCAAATATAGCAGCTTATCCATTTAAGTTAGGCAGGATCTATTAAAACTTCTACTTCTGAAAGTTTGAAAATGTCAGAATATGTATATAAGGTTATCTTTTACTAGAATTTGAATTCATAAATTTCAGTGCCTTGGAAACAAACATTATTGTATTGTCTTTGGAGATAATTTACAATTGAATCTCCTTAATTAAATATGTGAGATTACAGTAGAAACAAGTAATATAGTATATCTTTTAACCTTTTAAGATATTTTTGGAAGTATGTCATTAGTGTGTGTTTTTACTAGTCCAATGAAGAATTTTAAAAGTCTTTGACCATAATTTTAGCTCACGGTAGAGTGAAATGTAAAGTTTCTTTTTGCTTGTCCTCCAGGCGTTTTGATTTGCTGTCTTTTTACAGCATGGACACCAGATTGCTAAAAACATGCTTTGGGACTGCCAGTGAATTTATCTTTTGCAGTTTTACTACACACTTAGTAGTTCCCTTTTTTTTGAGTTAATGTTTTGGAGTTAATATCACAATGAGTTCGGGCTTATGGAGCCAAGAAAAAGTTACTTCACCCTACTGGGAAGAGCGGATTTTTTATTTGCTTCTTCAAGAATGCAGTGTTACAGACAAACAAACACAAAAACTCCTTAAAGTACCAAAGGGGAGTATAGGACAGTATATCCAAGACCGTTCTGTGGGGCATTCAAGGATTCCTTCTACAAAAGGCAAGAAAAATCAGATTGGATTAAAAATTTTAGAGCAACCACATGCAGTTCTGTTTGTTGATGAAAAGGATGTTGTAGAAATAAATGAAAAATTCACAGAGTTACTTTTGGCAATTACCAATTGTGAAGAGAGGTTCAGCCTGTTTAAAAACAGAAACAGACTAAGTAAAGGCCTCCAAATAGATGTGGGCTGCCCTGTGAAAGTCCAGCTGAGATCTGGGGAAGAAAAATTTCCTGGAGTTGTACGCTTCAGAGGACCCTTATTAGCAGAGAGGACAGTATCGGGAATATTCTTTGGAGTAGAATTACTGGTAAGTTTGATAAGCCATTTTAGTGGGCTGTGTGTATGTGTGTCTGTGTCTGTGTGTGCACACGTGTTTTTTCCCCTTTTAAATACAAAATAAGTTTTCCCAGAAATCTTCTGTAATTTTTAATATTCATAATCCTTAGGATTTACTTTCTAATGGTAAATTGAGATGCTGCATTGAAAACTTTTAAAAACTACCTACTATAGTAGGAAATGCAAGTAGATGATGTAATTATTGAAGACTTTCATATCTTAGAAATTTTAACATTGAATGTTAAAAATGAACTCTATCGATTGTAAACGAATTCTTTACTTAAAATTGTTACTTACCCTGTGATATTATCATCTGTAGGTTTCTCACTTTTTCTTAAAGTGCACTATTAAGTAGTGAATTTTGGTCATATAAGTTGCAGCAGTTTCGACTTGCTTATAGTTGTCCCTGACAATGTACGTGAAAATCATCTTGGAATTTGTTTCTACTGAAAAGAGAACCAAGAACTCTGTGATAATGTTTCCAAAATTAATATTAATTCTCAAGAACTTAAATGTCAGTTATATTTTGACATTCTTGCAAGTAGAATTTCATGCCTTGTTTGCTTTTTGTTTTTGTTTTTGTTTTTGTTTTTGCGGTACGTGGGCCCCTCACTGCCATGGCCTCTCCCGCCGCGGAGCACAGGCTCTGGACGCGCAGGCTCAGCGGCCATGGCTCACAGGCCCAGCCGCTCCGCGGCATGCGGGATCCTACCGGACCGGGGCACGAGCCCGTGTCCCCTGCATCAGCAGGCGGACTCTCAACCACTGCGCCACCAGGGAAGCCCTTGTTTGCTTTTTGATTTAATTTTTTAAAGCAGCAATTGTAAAACAATTGGAGATTTGAATCCTAACTATGCCATTTGCTAGCTGGGTTACCAGGTTATTTAAGCAAGCCACTTCTCTAAATCTGCTTCCTCATCTGTAAAATAGTAATATTATACAGAGCTTGCAGTGTTTTTGTGATATATTGATTCAGGATTTAGCACAGTGGCTGGCATACAGTAAGCGCTCAATAAATGGAGCTAGCATTACTGTCATATTAAAGTTTTCTTTTTATGACAAAATTTTTGTTAAAATCCCAATGTAGAATCTAGCCCAGGCTCTCTCACAGTAATGATTTGAAATGATCAAGTAATTTTATTTCAGCATCAGATACAGTTTCTTCCTTATTTTTTAAGCACCCTAAATTCAATATCAACTTCTAATATATTTCTTATATGTGTCATTTAGAATTTGTTCAGTGATTTCTCTGAAGTCCCCAGAGTGGATCTTTTTCCTTAGGGATCATCTTTCTCTATCAGTCAATCGTTTTTTTTTCTCTCATTTAAAAACTAGGAAGAAGGTCGTGGCCAAGGTTTCACTGATGGGATATATCAAGGGAAACAGCTTTTTCAGTGCGATGAAGATTGTGGAGTATTTGTTGCGTTGGACAAGCTAGAACTCATAGAAGATGATGACACTGGATTGGAAAGTGATTATGCAGGTCCAGTGGACACAATGCAAGTTGAACTTCCCCCTCTGGAAATAAACTCCAGAGTTTCTTTGAAGCTTGGAGAAACTATAGAATCTGGAACAGTTATATTCTGTGATGTTTTGCCAGGCAAAGAAAGCTTAGGATATTTTGTAGGTGTGGACATGGTAAGAAACTTTTGAATTATGTTATCTTTATGAATATATCTATTAGCTTTATGACCAATTTAGGTACAAATTAAACACTTTGAATATCTAAAATGGACTAATTTGTAGTAATTTAAAGAACACTTTATAATTTGTCTTTGGTAGAGGCACATTGATAGGGGACAGGAGTCTAACTGTAGATTTACACTTACTCGTTTTTCCAGCTTGAATAAACTGGAATAATGTTTTCAGTCTTTAAATTTGCTCTATAATAGCTGACCAATAAACAGAAAAAAACCCCACTGAAATATATTGCATGATGTCTTATTTTTCTTTACTTTGAAAAGGGTTTTTTTTTTCTGTAATCTGTTTCTCTTTTTGTAATATTTTGCTGAATTTAATTGGCTGATCTGATTTTAATGAGTAGTGTGTAAAAGTCATTCCTGGAAAATATCAATACCTGAATAGAGGAAAGGCACATTGCTTTAGAGGAAAAGACAATTAAGAGTGTCTTCTTAGGATATAATTCACTCAAAAGAGGTTTTTTTTTTTACTGTGATAAAATATATGTGACATAAAATTTACCAATTTAACCACCTTAAAGTGACACTGAGTACATTCACATTTTTGTGCACCCATCACCCCTATTCATCTCCAGCCCAAAATGAAACTCTGTACCTATTAAACCATAACTCCCTATTACTCACTCCTTTCAGCCAGTATTCTACTGGTAACCAGAATTCTTTCTGTCTCTGTGAATTTGCTTATTCTAGGTGCTTCATTAAGTGGAATCATACAATATTTGTCCTTTTGTTTGTGTCACTTATTTTTAATGTTACCTTACAATCATATTTGTTAATTATGGTTACATCCCAATATGGCAAATTGGACGATACCTGTGAGATTAAGAGAAGGAGAAAAAGTCTTGAGAACATTTTTCTCATAGATTGAAAATATGGACAGGAATTTGTTAGGTATAATGAAGGAAATTTGTACGAAATTATTAAATACTAGAAAGTTGGGAGAGGATGTGAGTAATAGACTTGTACTCACGGTGTTTTTCGTGATTATTTTTATCAATTCAGGTACACTTTTTAGTAGGATATGAATGTTCTAGCATAAGTTTCTCTTACGCTGTGCTTGTAAATTCTGGGAAATTCTATTTGATATCCATTAGTTAGACAAACGTTACTATGTTGTTTAGACAAACACTTACTGAACATTTACCATGTGAGAAGTTAGAGCCAGTGTAAAACATGTGGGTCCCTCGGGATAGCTAGAAATAAAGCACATCTTTAAACCATTATTCTTTAAATATTCAGAACTTGTTTAGAGAAGAGGTTGTGGGCTGAGTGGAGGGAAGGTTGGAGAAAGAGGGCCACTGGTCATTGGGGTTAGTTTCCTCTTGCTTTAGGTCATTTGGGCCTTAAACTTGGCAAAAGCCATTTAGGCCTGTCGCTCCTTAGATGGCAGTCTAGGGAGCATCTTGTTTACTTGGGGCAGGCTGCCTAGTGATTGCACCGCCAGCTTCCCCCCCTGCCTCTGTCTGTCTTCCAGTTGGTTTGTGCAAGCATTCATTCCAAACCCCTCTAGTGCACTCCTTGAAAGGAAAGTTCTGGCAAATGCAATAGTGTTCATCTCCTATTTCTGATGACGTTTCGCATGCTGTCCATATTGGTGCTCAGGGCAGTTGTCTCACTGGGCCATCTCTTAATCTAGCTCCATGAACAGCACTTGTACAGTGCTGTTCATGGAGTACATTTTTATAATTAATATAAAAATCTCCATTTTGGAGGGAATTCTTGCATACCCATAAAATGACAAAAGAACTGTTAAAAAAAATAGACTTTCTGTCTACAGAAAGGCACACAGGAATTCAAATCGAATATTTAAGTGCTCAGGGAATGTGAAGTGACTAGAGCAAGCTAGGGTTAATTAGGGGCAGATTTCTGGCTGAAACAGTGTATGATTAATACATCTACCTATGTAGATGGATTGTTATTATATAGATAAGTATTGTCCAGTGAAATATGACAAATGCTTTTGATCCCTTGCTCATCCATGGGTTTACTATGGCTTGATTGTTCTTGGATCTCATTTTTTGGAGGATCTTTTTATGGAAAATACAGACTTTCATATTTATGTTTTGTTGAGGAGGGTTTTAAAGTTTATTCTATTATTTAATTTCTAGGATAATCCTATTGGCAACTGGGATGGAAGATTTGATGGAGTACAGCTTTGTAGTTTTGCAAGTGTTGAAAGTACAATTCTCTTGCATATCAATGATATCATCCCAGGTATGTTTTCTTTGTGTTTTACATATTATGAAGGCAGAGCTTCTAAGACATATTTAGTTATGAGGATGTAAATATAAGGTTCAAGATGCATTTTTGGAACTTGACTTTTATATTATGGAATTGTTATTACATAGAATATCCTTCCTTACCCCCAAATAAAAACAATATTTAAAGATTTGCATTTCTAAAAGTATGTGAGTGTGGGGTAGCATTTATCCATTATTGTTCACTTTTTCATTACGTTTCCCTTCTAAGTGGGTGAAAAAAAAACCCTTCCTGATAATTGCAAGGGTCAGAAAATGTAATAAACTGCTTCCTGTTTGAGTGAGAGCCTGGTTTAAACTAGAAGCCTTTAAGCAGAAGTTGGTCATTTAATATAATCTAATATACTGTGGAGAGGATTCTTGCTGGATGCCCTACGATATCCCTTCCAGTTTTGAGAATGGCGTAATTGATCAGGCTTCATGACTGTAGTCAGAAACAGATCACTCAACTTTTACATCTTAAAAATAATCTTAAGCAGCCTATTATTTTACCCTAAACAAGTAGCACCTAATGGCTGCTGTCAACTAATTGATAAATTCCTATTGATAGCAGCATCAACATCACCTTCTCCCTGCTCCTAGTAGAATTCCAATTATCAGCTAGTCTGTCGGTAGCCATGGGACTAACAGAGGCAATCAGAGGTGGTGATTCTTATTGAGCATTGAAAGTCTGCATTCAGTAGCCACAAATTATGCATCTCTTAATTAGATTGGACATTAATTCTTAATTAGTTTCTATATTCTTGACAAACTTATAAGGTAGGTCTTAATTATCCCCATTTTGCTGATAAAGAACTGAGGATTAGATAGAGATAAGACGGACTAGGATCAAGTAACATCCTAGTTGATTCTGGTAGAGCCAAAATTCAAATCCAGACTTGTCTGATTATAAAGCTCTGACCTTTTCAGTACCTCCTCACCCCAAATCCTGTGTGTGTACTTAGGATATGAAGCCGTGCATAGAAGAACATGATTCTCAGCCTCACATGTATACTTGGGAATATTGTTTCCATGGAGATGTATTTTGTCTTTAATTCTTTAAAAGCTGAATTTTACTATAGCAAAGATCACAAATGAACAAAATGTTTTTTTTGCTTCCAGTGTTATTTCATTATTGTTGATTTTGACACATAACACTTTTGAGATCCCCAAAACTCAAAAGGTCATTTCAGGTCCTCAGTTTCTTGTTTTGTAAAAATGAAGGGGCTAATACTAGGTGATCCTTGGGATTCCTTCTAGCCTGCCCTCTTTGTCCTTCCTGTTTCCCTGTTGGCTTGGCAAGTAATAAATGCTTGTTTTGCTGAGTTAGGAAATGCTTTCTATGTTAGCTTTTAGCCTTACAGCAAGAGTACATTAATTTAGTTGGAGGTATGGGATTCAAATTATAGCCTTATGTTGATTTTGCTTTGTAAACTCTGACATACTTGGTTTTCCTTGACTTCTTTAAAATCAGTTTTTAATTTCTTACACATTGGATTCTTAGCTGTTTCTTTGCTTCCCTTTGGAAACAAATGGTTTACATTCAGTGGAAAGTATACACGTGCTTTATATTTTACCTAGTAATATTTAATTTACCTTTTCATGACTGCTTATGGAAAAACACAATTTGTGATCTTATAAATCAAAATACTTTTTAATGTTACAATAAATGCCTGTTGTTTAAAAAGCAGTTTTGTAAAAGGTTGTTCCTTCATCAAATATTATTAAAGCCTTACTTAGGCTTCTTTTAGGTATGGAGGATATAGTAGGAAGCAAAACAGGTAAAAGGTCTTCCCACATGGAGGTTTTATGCTAGTGAGTGAAGACAGACAATAAAGAAGACATATGGTCAATTAGATGGTGATTGCATGGAGAATGACAAGGCAAGGTGGAAGGGGAGTGCTGGGTTGTGAGGGGTGGGATTTTTCTACTTTATCTAGGATAGTCCTAGTGAGTCTCTCTAATGTGACATTTGAGCTCTTGACATGAAGGAGATTTGAGGGCTTGGCCAGCTTGAGGAATAGCAAGGGGTTCATTGTGGCTTGAATGAGGGAGAGTGATAGGAGAGGTAGTGGAGCTGGACCAGGCAGGGCCAAGTGGGCTGGTGTATGGATTCTTGGCTTTACTCTGAGGGAGATGGGGAGCTCAGGTGGGTTTTGAGTGAAGGACAACTTAACCCTAACTTACATTTTTAAATGATCGCTTTGGCTGCGTGTTAGAAGGCAAAAACGGAAATCAGGAGGAGGACTGTTGCAATTATCCATATGAGAGATAGAGGATGGTGGCTTGGATTGAGGTGGTATATTGGGGTGGTATATAATATATTGTTTAGCCTGTTTTTAAGCTTAGTATAAACAGAGTCACAGTGATTGTATTCTTTAATGCTTGCATCATTTACTTAAAGTGTATTTTGAGAGTCTTTCCTGTAGATGATGGTATTAGTAGTCTGTTCACCCTCACTGCTTCATAGTATATTTCATTGTGTGAATACTTCGTGATTTAATAACCCATTCTAATGTGAATGGATGTTTGGGTTTTGCGTATTTCCGTATCCTCTTCACCACCTGGTACTGATTAATATTTTTGCCAATATGATGCCTTTGGGAAATGGTATCTCAAGGTGGTTTTAATTTGTAGTTTCCTGATTACAAGTAGGGTTGAATAACTTTTCATATGTTTATGGAACATTTGTGTCTTCTATTAAATACCTGTTTGTGTCTTTGCTCAGTTTTCTGTTGATTTGTTTGTCTATTTATTGATTTATGAGTTCTCTATTTTAAACTTTTAATAAAATATTTTTTCAACATTTTATTATGAAATTTCAAACATATGGAAAAGTTGAAAGAATTTTATACTGAGCATCCCTATTCCTATGACCTAGAGTCTACACTTAATATTTTTGTACTTGCTTTATCATCTATTTATCCATCCCTCTATCCATGCACTGATCCACCATTTTTTTAATGCATTTCAAAATAAGTTACAGACATCAGTACACTTCCTCCTAAATACTTCAGCGTGCATATAATTAGCTAGAGATAAGTATTTAGGGTTTTTTTTCCTTTTGAGATAAAAGACATACATGTAATGAAATATACATTGTATCATTTGAGTTTTGACCAGTACAAATACCCTTGAGTTTAGTAACTATCAAGTTACTAAAATAATTTTTAATAAGAAATGCATTCACATAGCTCAAGTCAAAATAATGAAACAGTATAGGAGGGTATCTTGTTTCCATTCTTATCCCCTCTGCTCCAGTTGCCCCCTCACTCCTCTCCTTGCCTCCCTCCCGTTAGTAACTATTTTTTTTAGTTTCTTGTATATCTTTCCAGAGTTTCTTTACACAATATAAATACATAGTCTTTCTTCCCTTTTTAGGCATGAAGCTTAGTATTTACGCTGTTCTGAACGTGCTTTATTCTCTTCACTCTGTATCTTGGAGCTCTTTGTATATCTGAATAGAGAGGTTCTTCTCATTATTTACAGTGTTTATTTTTCCATTGTATTGTGGTTCCATAATTTATTGATTCATATTGATGGATATTTGGATTGTTTCTAATTTTTTACTATTACAAACAATGCTGCATAGCCTTGTACATATATATTTTCCACATGTGCTTAACTTATCTATAGGATAAATTCCCAGAAGTGGGATTGTTTGGTGAAAAGCTGCATACATTTGTATTGTTCTAGATACTGCTAAACTGCTTGCAGTAGTGGATATAACAATTTATTTCCTACCAGCAGACTGGGAAGGTGATTTTTTATTTTTTTATTGAAGTATAGTTGATTTACAGTGTTGTGTTTCTGGTGTACAGCAAGGTGATTCAGTTTTACATATATATATATATATATATATATATACACGTGTGTGTGTGTTTGTGTATGTGTACACACACTCAAATTCTTTTCCATTATGGTTTATTACAGGATACTGAATATAGTTCCCTGTGCTATACAGTAGGACCTTGTTGTTTATCTATTTTATATAGTAGTTTGTTTCTGCTAATCCCAAACTCCTAATTTACCCCTTCCCCACCCCCTTTCCCCTTTGGTAACCATACGTTTGTTTTCTATATCTTGTGAGTCTGTTTCTGTTTTGCAAATAAATTCATTTGTATAATATTTTAGATTCTACAAATAAGTGATATCATATGATATTTGTCTTTGTCTGAGACCTAGAGATTATCATACTAAGTGGCTTACTTCACTTAGTATGATAATCTCTAGGTCCACCTGTGTTGCTGCAAATGGCATTATTTCATTCTTTTTTATGGCTGAATAATATTCCATTGTATACATATACTGCATCTCCTTTATCCTTTCATCTGTCGATGGGCATTTGGGGTGCTTCCATGTCCTGGCTATTGTAAATAGTGCTGCTGTGAACATTGGAGTGCATGTGTCTTTTTGAATTAGAGTTTTCTTCAGATATATGCTTAGGAGTGGTATTGCTGGATCATATGGTAGCACTATTTTTAGTTTTTTTAAAAAAATATTTATTTATTTATTTGGTTGCACCAGGTCTTAGTTGTGGGAGGCAGCATGTGGGCTCCTTAGTTGTGGCATGCGAACTCTTAGTTGCGGCATGCATGTGGGATCTAGTTCCCTGACCAGGGATCGAACCCGGGCCCCCTGCATTGGGAGCGTGGAGACTTATCCACTGCAGTGCCAGGGAAGTCCCTCTATTTTTAGTTTTTTAAGGAACCTCCACACTGTTTTCCATAGTGGCTGCGACAGTTTACATTCTCACCAACAGCATAGGAGGGTTTCATAAGGGGGATTTTTTTATAGCCTTGTCATAGATTTTTTTTCCAATCTGATAGGTGAAGGATATATTTCAGTATAGTTTTAATTTGCATGTCTGTGATGAATGTGGTTGAGCATCCTTTTGTATGATTAAGAGAAATTTGTATTTCTCTTTCTGTGGACTGTTTATACATATTTATTGTCTATTTTTAAAAGTTGGATTAT